AAATTTCATGGGATTGGGGCCTCAGGGCCCGATAGGGATCATTGAGGGTGATGGAGGCACGCAGAACTTCGCTGCTTGAGGAGGTGTTGCCAAGAGAATTCCTTTGTGTTTTTTGGGGACGCCGGTGGAAATGCTCAAGCTTCGAGAATCACATCTCTTTTGCTGTCAAAGAGCTCCATGGAAATACCATTCTCTTAAACTAACTGTGGGGTCAACCAATCATCGAAATCAAAATGAATGGTCATGCCTTCAGAATTTAATCCTTACAACAATCAAGCATTACCCCACCTCACTCATTTCAAAAGGACCCATAACAAGACGATAGCGTAGGGAATCTGCATCCGACGAGGCCTCTGACCAACTCACACCGAAACCACGGGAGCCAACCGCCTTGGCACTGGAATCCCTACCTGATCCCCTGGCCTGATATAGCCACCGCTTGTGGCCCAATGGAATCACCCCCAATTTTCAATTGCAGTCACAGCCTTGTGGTACAACGCGCCGTGGTCCATAGCTGCAAGAGCCCAACCGTCGAAGTGCACACTTCTGCAAACCCTAAACCGTCGTCCACCAGAAGTTGCTGCAAGGGTTTCGACAAGATCCCACGTGCTTGTTCTGTAACTGCTCAACTTTGATAAGGGTCCCTGTCTATTTGTGGAGCCCTTAAAGAATCGACATAATCTCCAGTTAAATGCTTTCGGCAAGTAAGCACGCAAAGCCTGGAAGCTTCAACGACGTCAATCTGCAGTGGGCATGGAGTGTTTGCCCTGTTTGTTTCAAACCCCAAAATCTCACCGGAAAATGGAACTGACAGAACAGGGCGAACTATGCAGGCAAACGATTTATATACGAAATTGTTCAATCAACTCATCAATCAACTCAGGGATATATGACAGCACAGAATACAGTACTCGCTTGCGTGTCCTTTTCCATGCAGCGAGGAAACGGGGTATGTGGGACATATCCAGGCGATTCAACCTTAGAGGACAAGCGCAACCTCGGGCATTTAACCCCCCTGGCTTACCAAAGACCGAATTGGGCAAAGTGAAACGTAAAGTAGAAGCCCCCCCCCCAGAGGGTTTGCGTTGCGTTGCGAGCCAAGTGAGTCTAGTCAGCTTGAACGGGGACTGCATTCACACATGTGTTGTGCGAGGTGGCTTCCAGAAACTACTTGTAGGACCTATGCAACATGGATTGGTTTTATGAGCACGCGTGAAACACAAAGCCAGCTAGTGTTGCCCTCTGTCACTCAAGCCGATTTAACAAAATCAAATAAACATCCCCAGCAAACTCATTAAAATCCCTAAGGATCGAAGGTTTACGGCCATCATCACAGTAGTGCAACTTCCCATTACCCCCCCGTCCAGTACCCCCAAAGGGTTGGGTGGGTTGGTGAAAACTTTCTCAAGTGGCGATCCCAGACATTTGGGAGATCATGCCCAAACATAAATCCATGCTCCATTCCAACTCAATCAGAACATGTCATGACTGCAAGCATGAGTCAATCAAAACTTGGTTTTGACAGAAAGGGACAGAGGAATCATCAAAACTTGGCTTGATAAATCAAGCACGGATTTCACAGCAAGCGAAAATCAACTTGCGAAAATGGCGATGGAAAATTCGCTTCGCCACGGTCCCCGCCAAACAGGAGCAAGCCTTTACTACGCGCTCCGTGGACCGTTTGCCCTGTTTGTTTCCAATCCCAAAATAGAATAAAATTGACAGAACAGGGCGAACGATGCAGGGAAATTACATAAAAGATTTTTTCGACCAACTCATCAATCATTTCAGGCATATGTGACAACACAGAATAAAGAAGTGCATGCACAGCCAAAGTCAACTACGTGCATCCCATGCGGGGCGAACAGCCGTGCGAAAGGGGGCATGTGGCACATATCCGCGCAGCTGAGCTGAGGAAACATTGGATGGCAAGCTGCGATGAGCGGGCAGCTCACAAAACATGGGTGGCAAGCTGCAAAGGGAACGCAGCAAAAGACAGACGCAATTCGCAATGCAAGCTGCAAGCTGGCGAGTCAGCCTGAGAGGACAAGCGCAGCCTCCCCACGCTCACCGATGTTGTCGCTAGAGCTGCTCACCCGCTCTGACATCAAGAAGCAGTTCAGCTTCAGCGCGAACAGTTGATGCGATGGCGGAAGTCAAGTTGCAGTCATGATGCCAAGCGTGAAGGGAAGCCGTCATCTAAGGTGTGATGGCAATATCCGCTTTATTGATGCACTGCAATCTTGCACAAGCCTCATCGGCCCGATCTCTAGATGGCGGGTCGGATGGGTTGGGCTCGCTGGGCACGCGCTCAAACCACGGCACGGTTTCACAAGCTCCTTCGAGCAAGGCATCCAGGGAGATTATCCTCATAAGCACAGGTGATGGGCTAACCCTATATTACTGAAACCAAAGCGGCAGGGGTCGTTGTCAATGAAGGCAATGACCGTTTGGGATTTCAATTGGCAGCGCAGCCCACAGAGAGTTATGGCAACTGCGTAAGCCTCGACCTGCGACCTGACAGATGAGTTGCTCGCCCATCAAGTCCCTGCAATGGGCCAACAGCGAACCAGGCGATCAACCTGAAGCACTCATCTATACCCATGCAGGGAGTCCAACGGTCCAACAGAACGGAACCCTAGGCTCCTTCCTGGCCCTCGTAGGACCTGTCAGTGTAAAGAATCACAGGCTAAGTTACCACAGCACTGACTGTCCGCGGCCTTGACTGCCGGATAACAGACATGGCGAAGGCGCAAGCATCCCTCAAATCCTGTATTTCCACAGAACTGACCTGAGAGCGCAAGTGAGAGCATACGAGCAGTGGCCGTTCACTGGAACCCTAAGATGTAGCCTCCGGCAAAATTGACAAGTCCATGTAGGGAGGCAAGCTGGGAATTTGTTACATCCTTGCCATCAGCAATAGGCTGAAGCATCTCAAGAACCTTCTCCATGCGCCCCGGGTAATTCGACACGCTGATCTTGCCCTGCCGAATCTCAGATAACCCCATGGCAACACCCAAACACGCGACAGTGGGTCCGAAGTGCACGAACTTCTTCCCGTCCCAAGCATAGACCATCATGAAAGTCAGTCCCCAAAGCAAAGAACTTTATGAGCATTCTGCGCAACAAGGCCAATGCGATTTCGTTGAAGGAGAAAACAGAGGCCGAAGCCCCAAAGGTCAGGGCATCCGAGATGTACATGTTCCATCTGGAATCATGTGCCAAAACCCCCAGGCTGGACGGACGCACAGCTACCTCTTTATAAGACTTGGAAAGATCCAACGTCTTGCCCAGGAGGGCAGGCTTGGCCTTCATCTCCGATGACCAGGATCCCCTGAGTACAGTGCCGTCCGATCTCGGAACCCTCTACGCGAGATTCATTCTGCAGAGCCCTCGACGCGAATCACAGCATGTCTACCGTGTAGTCCGTGTCTTGCAGCTCCAAGCAAGAAGAAAACCCAAAGGACTTGCTGACGCCCGACATTTTGTAGTCGTCAATTACCCTCACCTTGGCATCCTCGCCCTGGGGCAAGGCAATGCGTGGAGACAGGGTCCAATGCTTGGTGCCAAGATGCATTGACACTTCCTGCTCGAGCGGAAAGGGGTCCAGTATCATCCTCAGCGGGACGCTGCCTGGACTGCATGAGCGCCCCCCTCGATACAAGAGTGGAGCACCCAAAATGCTGGAAGTATGGGCAAGTGACTTGAACAAGTCATGTGCAATTTGCCATTTGCGGGGTTTGGTCCGGGTAATGCACGTGGGGGAAATCATGGATCTATTTTAGACTCAAGTGGAGTCCCAATTGTGCTGATGATGCTCCCGTTCAGGGCCAGGATTGGCAAAAAGACCTTGAAAGCCCGAAACCACCATCGAAAATGGCGAGAGCATCCCTTTTTGCAGCGGCTTCTGATGATCTTGTACATCAGGTTTGCTAGGGATTTTGGGAGGGGGTGGTGACTGCACCGGCATTGGCACCCTTACTTCCCGATGCTCTTTACATATATGCTGAAAAAACTGCAAGCAAATCCCTAAACCATTGAACAGAAGTTGCAGAGCAAAAGCTCTGAGCCTGAGGAACTTCTATGAGATGCGGAAAATCTTCCCACGTTCTACTAAATCAGCACACACAAAAACCTTAAAACACATCATTTGCAGCCCCCAAAACTATGTTATTCCGATTATCTTCAACTCTGAAGAAAGTAGAATACACTCATGAAACTCCTTCAAGACCGTGCGATTCTACTCTACCCCTCATCTCCATCCACACCCCAAGAAAAGCCCATAAAAGCCCGAGAGCTGCTTGCACAAACTTCCACGAAAAATTGCCAAAGCGTGTTGCGTAAGACAAGATTTCATGTGAGAATTTGAAGCTTGTCATGACATGTGCAAAAAGCGGCTTTTCTATATGCTTTGTCGTGAAAACTCACGCAGACCGTCTCCAACATATATTGTCCAGCGAGCAAGACGACTATGTTGGGTTCTGTGCTCAACGTGCAGGTCTTGACTCCTCCGCGGGGCATCATGTGATTTGGCCATGATTGTAGTTTCTAGTTACCAAGTATGCATAGTGACATGAGTGATGAATGAAGGCTCAAATCACCTATGTGTGGCCCGTGACGCAGCTGAAAACACAACCATCAGTCTTCCCTATGCTGTGCTGCTGTTCTTTAGAACAGTCAGCTTCCAGTTGGCGCTGCAGTCCCCTGGCTGCCTTGTTAGCTTTCTGTGGAGCATGACAGGCATACCACTGTCCCATGCACCAACTGGCTTCTGAGGAAGGCTTGACGCCCTGGCCACGGGTCCACACACTTAAAAGAACCCACTTGGCATGCTGGAGCCACGCACGCTGGCACAGTTACAAGAGCAGCTTGGCAGGAATGCCGAAAACGGTTTAGACACCATCAAATTTCAACAAACTGATAAAGACAAAAGGTGCTTCCTGCCAGAACCAACTTACGAATTTCAGCGATACTGATGGAAACTGTGGGAATGTTAAGGCTCAACTAGGTTCCTCAGGAATCGGAGCTGCCTTCATCATTTGCTGTTGCGCCTGCTCCTGATATCTGCACTCAGCTGGCCATTCTTACGCAACAGCACTGCGGAAACTTGCAAGAAATGGTAGGCTTTTGTGGGGGCTGAAGATTGGAAGAACCCGCGCTCGATGCAGCTGGGGCCAACTTCTTCTGATTCTCGGCTCTGAATAAACCTACCAAGAAAGAAGCAGCTGGAACACAATATGTCCTCGCTTACGACGCCGGAATGTGTACCTCGGCAAATAAAAATCACAGGCAACAAGCGCGCAATGCACTGTCGGTTTTTTGTGGTACCTTCTAGCAGAAACTTACTCCAACTAGGTTTGCTGCTTCAGCCACTTGAGCGCGTCAGTGGCGGGTGCTGGCAGAGGAAACATACTTCGGAGTCCTGGGCATGGTGCAAGGCCTTGGCCTTGGCATCTTCCTGTCTCTGCGCAGGCTTTTTGAACCAGCAACACGTAGGATATCTTTTTGATGGAATTCTGCTCACGAAGCATGTGGTTTTGCTTTTTTGCGTTCTTGCGCATGTTCACAGGACTTGAAAATGATGCCGTGGGTGCTGACATGCGCCCCCCTCCACCTTTAATCCGAAAGTAAACGAAGGAGCTGACCCCACTCCTGATGTAAAGTCGATCCCCGAAGGCTTTCGCAAGCGAGGCTCCAAACTTGTCACGTGAAACAGGCTTCTTGTCCTTCTTGATTCTCGAGTCGGCCTGTGCGGCAATGGTGAAAAATGCTGACGACATGCTGTCCCTGAAAACCCAGCAGAGAGCTCGAATGGCATGTGCTGACTCTAACAACACTGAAGAGCAATTCAGCAAATATCACCGGGTGTATCCTAACATGAACCGAAGCCAAACGCTCACTTCCAGCAAGCTGAGTGTGGCACTCGCACAGACACTGCATTCTGTGATGTCGTGGGCGAAACCAGCGTCTTGTCGTCTCCTTCGGAGAACCAGATGCCGCCGCTTTTGGCCGTCACTGTCTTCCTAGCACAGGCGGAGGAGTTGACATGTTCACACACGCTGGCTTAATGCATTCGCTTCTTCGCTTAAGGGGGGCACGATTTGCGTTGCATGCTCAATCAGTGCATGACATCTCTTCGTAATGGCACACACCACAACCCAAATTACAGCACAGCGTTGCAGTTCGTCCGTGATGATATTCTAGCAAGCCATGCAAAGTCCCACTTAGGTAGCTCAACACCCTGTGACTAGCGAAGCGGTGGCGCGACGGGCAGAACAGGTTGTCACTTCTCACCGTATTCCCAGGAATGGCTGGCTGTGAGGGGAGTGCGGACAAGGATCAGACGGCTCTCCAAATCTTGCTGCGTGTTTTCGCTGATCTGGAACTCCCTCAGCTTCTCTGCCATCTCCTGGAGGCCAGATGTCCCACACCCCAGCCCTGAATCGTATCCCAGGCATGCTTCACAACGCTTCACATCTGCACACTTCCGCAGTACTCTCCCACCCAGGTCCTTGGCATCCTGCACGGACACACGCAGGTCGCTTCCTTGTGAACCCCTCTGAGCAGCCTGAGTCGCGATTGAAAATTGAAAACACAATTGATAGCTTTGCACGCTTTGCATATCACGTCCGGCCTCCATGCCTTTTCTGAGAAACAAGCGTGCGCGCTAAGTAGTTATAAACGGTCATCTATACTATATGCCATTCGGGCCATGAGCTCACAACCGGCTGATGCCCACACTGCCAAACATTGCCCCAAGTCCCCAGCCTGAAGAACGAAGGGATCTTGCAGAGCCTCCTTGGCAGTCAGCCGCTGACGAGGATCTCGAACCAGCACCTGAAGGCACAAGAAATATCCAGAAGTGAAGGTGGAACAGATTTGCATGTAGCCTAGCCCTTCAGAAGCGCCACAATAGCAGTTTCCATTTTATTTTCCATTATCCCAATATAAACCCCATTATACCCAAAAACAACGGCTGGACTTCAGGCTGGTCTCCGGTTTTTTTGCGTTGCCTTGCCATAGGGGCATGGTGAATTCACACCGGCCTGACCTCAGGCCACCCCGTCTGTCTTTGTCCGGAGTTGGGATCGAGCTTCTTCCTCTTCTTCTATGTGCCATGCGCTCCTCCATCTTTCTTTCAGGGCTGTGGAGAGGCCCGAGGCATTGAGACTTGGAGTAATACACCTCCTCTTTCTTTCTTTCGTTTAGGCTATGGAGGAGGAACAATTGTCCCCCTCCGGGCGTCACTGCCCTCCTCTCTCGCTATCTCTCTCTCTGACACATTGGGCACACGCTTCGCCAATGCCAGTGCGAGAGAGGACTGTGAAGTTGGGAATTGTAGAGGAGGGCTATCCGTCGCGATAGCATACCTCAGCTCAGTGCTTTGGACTGCCTTTATGCCCAGGGCCTCCAGTGAACATGCTGAAGGCAAGTCGCTTCATACTGTCTGCGGTGGTCTCACCCGGAGGCATGTAAGGGAACTTGCCAAACAGGATGAGGTAAAGGATCACCCCAAAAGCCCACAGATCCACCTCCTGGCAGGGTAGCACAAGGAATAGAATTGATCTCGAAGCACGCTTTTAAGCCCAAAGCTTCCTTGTGAAATCCAGGTTTGGCCCACAAACCCTTTGGCTTCACCAAAGTCTCGGGAGCCATGTAAGGGGCTGTGCCACCGACCCCCGTTAGCTTCCCCTTCTTCGGCTGCTTCAAAGCAAGCCCGAAATCGCAGATCTTGAGCTCGGTACCCCGGCCGACGCAGAGGAAGTTTTCGGGCTTTATGTCCTGAGCATCCGAATGTTCGAGTTCTATGCAGGTCACAAGACTCTCACCCACTCAAGAACTTGCAGGCTCAGCGTCTCTGTGAACAAGCCCTACCGTATGGAGATGCTGGATTCCATGTAGCATCTCTGAGGCCAGTGTAGCAAACTCCTCTTCAGCGAGGGTCTTGACGTGGAGGAGGTGCTGCATGAGATTTCCTCATCAGGTCTGCCCTATAGCTCATGGCGGGTTCGACTGAGAGTTAACCATCCCCCAGCAATCTCAACCAGGACATGTTTACAGCAAGGCGACTTTTGCAGACTTCGCAGACCATGTAGTAAAAGCCGCTACAGTAGAAAGCATCCTCAAGCAACGTGACTTGCGGCAGCTTCGCCGCACCTGCAATACGCCACATGCGGATCTCGCGCTCGAGGTTTCTTTTTCTTCGCTTGCTGACCTGTGCAAATGAGCAGAACTTGCTGAACTTGCTTTTTAAACAGACCGTGTGCAAGCGCAAGGAGGAGCTTCTATCTGCAGGTTGAGCGAAACTGCTCTCCCAATGCCAGCCAAGTTGCTGCTACTACGCTACCGCTCTCCTGCGTTCGCACGTCAGCGACTTTGACTGCAAATTCCTGCACTTCAGTTGTCAGTCACCAATCAGGGAGACAACGTCTCAATTGACTGTGCACCGCAATTATCATGACTGTAGAACTGCATAGAACTGCATTGCACGCACATGAGTTTTGCATTGCATTCAAAGGTGCTGTTTGGGCGCAAAATGAATCTTACAACTCCTGTGGCCTGCAAAGCGCTATTGTCTAGTTCAGTGGGGGCAGACTGAAAAATCACGCAGGCTGCTCTATGCCTATGCTTCGGGTCCTTTTTGGTGGAAATCTCCGTGGCTAACCTCACCTGACCAAAAGCGCCTTCACCAAGCTTCTTGCCCAACGCGTACCTCTCGGAAGGGAGAAACTACGTGAGATGAAGACAGCGAACGAACAGGGTTCGGTCCAACAGCCTTTGACACAAGGATAGGCACCGCCAAGCTTTAGCGAACAGCTGCGCTGCTCAAAGGATCTTCAGCGTGGCAGGTCATGCGTGGCGACGCCTCCGGAAGAACTCCGCCGACTCAGGGATCTCATCCACCGCTTCTTTGCCGCTGGAGCACCCCATCCATGAAAACGTGAAGCCTCAACAGCGTCTCCTGTTCTTCGAGCCATGAGAATGGCCTTGGACAAGCACTTTGCTGCAAGCTGTTTTCATTCCTCCTGCCCTGAAAGGAGTCCGAATCACTGTCGCGTGCTGTCTTCTGTCTTACGACATACACCTCTGCTCCATCACCCTTGCTCTGTACTTGAACAGCTTCACTCTCTACTGGCCTATCTCGAAATGATTTCGTTCGAGTCGAGCAGCTCACAACTGTCAGTCCGAGACATGGGCACGCGGTCCTTTTTTCTAATGCAAAAGCTACTCCGTCCTATTCTCCTCTCCACTATCCCATGCACATGCCATGTCCATCCCCAACTGGGGAGCATAATCTGTGATCTGGGCTGGGCTATCAATGCACAACACACAAGCCGTACCAGCATGTTATGCGTTATTTTCCTGATGTTATTTAAGTATCTGGCTGATAAGATTCCATCATACATGAAGCCTCCCTCGCAAAACTTTCACATGCCCATTTCGGGCGCTGCTGCACTCCATGTTGACTCGTTCGGTGCTCCGCCAGCCAGCTGTCTTCAATGCTGGCTCTAGCGGGCCTCTAAGCAATTCAAGAGCTTGTATGGCTAGGTGACGTAACTTCAAGTTCATGAAATGGAAAGACCGTTTGTAGTATGTGGATCCACCTGCCCGGTGGTGCTGTCCGACCACCTTCTCAGGCCTGCGCTGTCGGTGGTCACTCCGAGGAACACACCAGAAGGTCAAAAAGTAGTCAAAGCAGTGCATAAGCACTGGGCGATGCCTTGCCGCTGCAAGACCCGGCACATCAGTCTTTTCAGATGTTAGCTTAATAGGTGAATCGTGATGGTCATTTTGGTATCTGATTTCCTCAAAGAGGCCGTTTTGGCCACTTTGCCTGGAAGACAGCGGCATGAAAGAATGCCAGCATGTAAATCAAGCGCTTGCTTGTGTCTTTGACTTGGCTGGCAAATTCGGAGCGGTGCAAAAAGAAACATTCACTGCAAGAGCCAGGCTGACTGGCTGCCTGCGACCATGCTCAAAAAAGCACAAAAAAAGTGATCCAGATTGTATAAGCTGCTCTGGCAGCAATATTGCCATTACATGTTGAGCCGGCTGGCCGCAGCTTCTAGAATCTGTCCGCCAGGTAGACTTGAAGCCTATTCCTGGGCATAATGCCGAAGCTACGCAAAATTTCACCAGAGCTACGCTCTGGCAAAGTGAGCATCCGGCCTTGGCAAGGTATCGATCTACATGAGATGCCAGCCACTGTCCCAACTCAGAATGGGTAGGTCTGGTGCGTGTGGCTTCCTCAAAGTGCTCGTTTGGAGCAACATCTCCCGAGTTCGGACAGTGGCTTGCGTTTTGCGGAGCGCAAGGGCATGGACTCAGCAGCAGGAATTCTGCTCGGCAGCCTCTTCGGCTCGTCTGATGCTGCGTGGCAGGGTCTCAAACTTCGGTACGTTACTTGCACAGCCTTGCCGGCTTACTAGCTCGACTGCTTTCACATGGTAGTGCTGCTGATTCTTCTGGCAAGCCAAGATTGGGCCAAGATTCCAAGCTGCAGAGCCTTAAATCGAGTTCAGCTTTGCATCGTGTAGCAGCCGGGAACAACACCGCTGGCTCAAAGACAAGTCCTCACGGGTGCCTGCGACACCCAGAGCCTACAATACTGTCACACGAATAACTTAAAGGTCTACAAGCGACTAATTCTTTGGCTGAACTCGGAAAAGAATTGCATAAACTCTTGCCGGCTCTAACCTTTCAAGTACAAAACTAATCCACCCCCAGCACCTACTGATATATACATATATATATATACCCTCTTCATATGCGCTGGCGCTGCTTTGCGGATATTTCTGGGGGATTCGGAAGTTGAGTTGGACCACCGGGGCTAGGTCAGAGCCGGGGTCTTTAGGTGGCCTACAAACAAAGCGCCTCCCTCAGTGCTTCCCGGCAGAGACGTGAGCTGGGCAAGGGACAGCTGTTCAGGCGAGTTAGTGCTTGGTGTGAACCAAGTAAGATGATCCTCTTCTTATAGAATACTATACTCAAAATGATGCTCCCCCCAATGTTAAACTGCGTCACCCTTTCAATGCAATTGCGCAAGCTCGGAAAAGCAAGCAGCACAAGTCAAAGCCAGCTGGGGCGCGCACGTTTCAGCTCTATCTTCACGGGAGTCCCCGCGCTGCCGTCAAGCTTTTCGCTCATTACTTTTTCCTGAGTCTGTTCCCGTCAAAGCTGCAGGTGCCAAAAATGCGGCTGCAGGCGGTCTGCCTAACAAGTCAAAACCCACCCTAAACCCTAAACCCTAAATAGTAGTTTCCATTTTCTTTTCCATTATCCCAATATAATCCCAATATAGTCCCTATAATCTCTATATACCCCATTATAGTAGTTTCCATTTTCTTTTCCATTATCCCAATATAACCCCAATAATGTACCTCATCCAAGCAAGGCCCGGGCCATGCTCTTTTTTAAGTTGTTGACCTGTTCAGTGTTGTCGTACCTGGCATCTCACCCGGATTGAAAACAGCATGGAGATAACACTCGAAACTGGCTTCAACTGCGTGAAGTCGTGCCAGGGGCATGAAACAAATCTGTCCATGTACTCTTGCTTTCAAATGCCCACCTACATGAACCAATGTTAATAGGGTTATGTAACAACTACGAAGACTGCGGCGGCGCACTTAGCGAACCACAGCTCAATCCTGAGGATTCCAGCAGCCTGGCAGGGAGCTCAACAACCTTGCAGCTCAAAGGCCATAATGGTCTGCTGGACCGCCAAAAAAACAAAAAGAAAAAGTGGCCCATCATGTATATGGGAAGGAAACAAATTGCGCCGTCACTTTGCGTGCCTTTGCTCCTGAAAGCTTGTCCACTAGCCGGACCTGGGCCGTCACTTCCGTGGACGATGCTCACCCGTGCAGCGCGAGATGTTGGGCTCCTATACTTTACCATGTAAATCTAGTCGCCGCTTGCACGAAGGCCAGCAGATGGCAAAGCATAACTGGGATCTTGGAACCCGCACAACCACTGCTCACCAGTCCAGCGCTTCAGTTTCAATACCCTCCTGCTCTTAGACAAGACTTAGCGCAGCACTCCGGTGATCATGTCGTAGGGCTCAATAGTGCCCCCGACCTGGAGCTCAACTGCAACCACAGCTCGAGGAGTATTATGATAAGCTGTAGCCCGCTCCCAGGCTCAAAAGTTTAAAAGCTTGTGCACATCCCTGAACGTTTGGCCAAAATATCCAGCCAACCGTTAACTGTAATTGTAAATAGGGACTAAAGGAATAGAATCCCTATATAATCCCTTATTCCCGAGTAACCCCCAGTAAGTTAAGCTCTCAACCCCCCTCAGGACGCAGCCATGCCCAGAACAATGTTGTTCCAGTACTCATCTATCTGCAAGCCTCCAATGTTTGCCTTCAGCTGCACCTGTTGCGCACAAGACTGGCAAGTTGACGGATGAGAAATTCTCTGGAGACATGGTAGTTTCCCAAAATAGGGGGGGGCCGCTCACTATAGAACCCAAGTACTGTAATCCTTATTATGGGGACCCCCAAAATGGTACGTACCCCTGATGTCTGGAAATCCCAGAAAATCACATGCAACCTGTGCCTGAACCTGGCATGTGCCAAGGCCTGGAAGTGCCCGCCGGTCGCATTTAGGGGATCCTCCCACTCTGGTCGAACCTTGCTTTGCAGCATTGGTCTTCAGGACTGCAGTGTCTTTGAGGGAAGCTTGTGTCCTTGATGCTCTTGCCCCAACTTGACAGTTTCAGGGCTGAGGGTCGAACCCCTTTCTTGAAGATCATGATGGCATCGATGGCCGCAACGGTGCCCCCCTGCCACTCAGTCAATCCAAGGCTTCACAAGACAGTCGCTCCTGCTTCCTGAGTCTGCAAGCATGTCAGGTCGTTCAGGCCATGCAGGTCCATCACAAGCCAGCGCGGCAGTCTCTCTTGTGATGCGCTTATTTTCCAGAAGCTCGCTCGGTTGAGGGACCTGAGATGCGTCAAGGCAAGTGATCTCTGAAGATCGCATGCATTGATTGCAATGATGCGGAAGCTGAAATCATGTTTTACTGCGGACTTTTTCCAAGGCGTGTCAAGGTACGAACCCTGACAGACTATCCTTCTTGAACCCCATCAATCACTGATCTTGTGGGGCAATGTTTTCGACCCTCTGCAGGCAAATGACTAGGAGCTTGCTGCCTCATTGTTTGCGACTTACGTGGCACGAGGCACATCAGGGTGCATTTCTGATTCTTCTCAGTGATCTAGGGATGCAGGGCTTGTAATCGACCATTTGGCACAAGCAGTTCTGAGTGTTGTAGGTCTGCCTCGATGAACGTATGCGGAGTCTGTGTCAAAGTCTGGGATGCCCAGGCTGTCTGAGAGCAGTGTCTCATTGCTAGACAACCGGCAACACTTCTGACGTTGTGAGCGCGGCCTAGGTCTGCTCTCTTGCGCAATCAGGGTTTTGAAGGTGACAAGAAACAGGCTGGACGCATAATCTCGACGAAACTGCGCGTGAAGACAAGGAGAAGAATCACTCACCAAGTTACAAACGCTACTGTAGAAGCTTCACAGTTCATGAATTGCTGGCAGGGTCAGACTCTTCGAAAGGTTCGCTGATGTGGCCCACTGTGCCACGGCCGCGAAAAAAAATGAGGCAACATCTGGGGATCATTCTTGGCGAGTGCGATACGATTGCTCTCGGTGCGCAACAACTCCCCGTCTCAGCTATTATCATACCCCAAAACTTTTGCGCGACCCAGCCATCCATACTTGCAACTCCCATAAGTTTGAAATGAAATCAAGCCCAACCTGCCGGCGCATGTTGGACCACGCTTTAAAAATACATTAAGTTCTTACATAGTCTCCGCGCATTGACAATTTCTTGTTGACGTCGATGAATCCTGGAAAAATCTGGCCATTCAATCAGCTTTTCGAAACTTATGCCACGTGGAATCGAGCCCGGCCACAAATCAAGAGTTTCGCACGCTAACCGAACCCCCGTGGGCGGGCTGCGGGGTGGGCGGTGGGTGTCCGGTGTCGGCTTGCAACTTGTGACCGCCAATTGTCATGTTGCAAAATACAATACGGACCTTGAACCCTACAATGATGAGGGATACCATTTATTGTCAGCTTTCTGCATTTTAAACTTTTTGAGAGGGTATGGGCCCAAGGGTTGGTGGCAACAACCCCTGACAAAAACAAGCCTTCACACCTATGAAGCATGACTTGGCTTTCGCCTGGCAGTTGGCCTTCCTTTTTGTTCGATCCCCGATCTCACATGAACTCAGGTCTTGACTCCGTTCCAAATGCTCCAGAATTCCTGCAGCATCAGTAGCTAAGTGTCTGCGCTTGCGGCCTACCTTGACTTCGGTATGTATCTGCAAGCTGGCCGACTTATCCCTGTCATGCACAGCCCTTACACAAGAGTCCTGTGCAGTCTTGAACGGCACAACTTCCTTCACGGAGTCGGCGAAGGCTGTGCCTAGCCGTCCACGCTTGTTCATGCTTTCCATGCTGATTGCATTGGTAAGCGGGCCTTTGCCATCATTTGGAGGCACAGCCTGATGCAATGGGGCCATGCTTCTCCAGTCATGCGCGTTGATTCTGCAAGCTGTCACTGCAGCAGGCCAACATGAGCGGCACCTGCTCCCAAAGCACCCAGGTGTCTTTCAAAGGCATTGGGTCCTGCATTTACTAAGCTGGCAGGCTGCATGCAACATAAATGCAGAACTCCGCCATTGTAAACATGCCCTAACTAGCACTCGTGCACGCACGCGGGAACGCGCTCCAGCAGGGCTTTCTGTGTGTCGCTGTCTTCCTGGCCGTTTGGACGCTACAAGCTACCCACAAGCCACAAAGCGTGCCTGCAATGGTCTGAAACAAGTTCCAAAGATATGCTGCCGTGCCCTAGTCGTGTGCTACCATAGTGGCCACCTTTCAGCATCTGCCAAGCTATGACATAGCGACAAACGCAACACCAACTGCCGTGCGCCATGGAGCCCGTCTCCACACAAGCCAAACTCCAAGCTTTCAGCAGCCATCCAAGCGAGTCGGCCAGACTTCAGGGAGGTTGTTGATTTTGCCCTTGCCACCTATCGCCTGTCAAATCCGTGTTTCTCTACAAGCCAGCCACCCGCCAACAAGCAACGGAAGAAAGCTTTCTGCAATCTGTGCACCCTGGTCTGGTCTCAAGGGTCTTTGCAATTGCACGTACACGACATAGGAGAGATGAAAATTGCATGAAGATCAGCTTATGCCGCTAGCAGAATCCGAAGTGTCGTTGGGAACTAAAGCTCTGATTGTTCGGGAGCTAATTGATTCCGACCGGCCGTGAGATCCCGCCTCATTGAAACTAAGGTACTGCATTGGCCAACAGTGCAGTACGACGAAAACCTCGGAGCAAGACTGTTGATGGCCCGCATATCTCGGGTATCCTGCAGATCCTGCTATCAGCTGCTATCAGCTATCAGCACGCTAAGTTAACAGCCAAGATATCACCAATGGAGAGGCACTTCAACGTGCCTCGCGATGAGCACCACTGCGTGTGAGCCAGAATGCGCAAGCCGGTCTCAAATTCGGGTCTCCAGCCTTCCAGACAAGCCAGAGAGGGGACAAGTGGAGAGCAACTCCACAAATCCCTCTTGGGCCAAATCCCGCGGAGACGTCATACAGATCAGCGCAGGTCCTTTAATGCAGCAAGCAAGGCCGCACCATCGCAGCTCGGCAACGTCCGTGGTCAGATGCAATGCAGGCTTTTCGCTCGATTGGCAGAACGGACTCGGGGAACTGGGAAGAGACAGCTGCTCCTCCCAGCCTCATGGCTGCAGCTTGACTGCAAGTGGAGCTGTTGGGGCTGAAAATCCTGAAGCTTCGGCAGGGCTTTGTGGATACATAATGCTTGTTCGGGAGTCCTGCACAAACAGTATCCTTGCTTCCAAGCTTGCACCATGAACTTGGACTTACGCCGGCTGGCGCATTAAAGTCTGTTGCGCCACGGCTGTCTCTGCAATCGTTTGCTAGGAGACAGAATGTGTCGGAACTACTGCAGAATGTAAACAGGATTGTGAGGACCTGCCCGCTCAGTGGAATTCACGAGCCAACTCCATTACATGAATGAATGCTGTGATTTCATTTGAAGGTTATAGAAATCCGAAAGGTGCAGGTCGCTTGCAGCGCATTGCGCTGGCAACAACCTTTACCCATATTTGCCTCCCTTTGGAGATGTTTAGCTGCACGCTTTAACGTGGCTCTACCAGGGGCCGTTTGTCGGCACGAATTGTCTTGGACATTACGGCAGCCTGGCCAAGGCCAATGACTCAGTGGAGCAGGCGTCGGAGATTTTGGATGAACACAGTCATGACCCTACATTAATATCATTAACAGGAGCACCTGTTCGCTGACCCAAGCCAAAGGCAAAGCGTTGAGCTGTCAACACAGCAGCCGAGCAGAACAGAATTCAGTACGGGTATTGAAGCATCAGGCTGAGGGGACATCCGTATTTCTTGAATAGCTGCTAGTCCCAGAATAAATGAGATAGTCTTTCGCAATGCTGAGGCTGGCAGCCGGCGTTCGGGCATTGTGTCTGCCTTTCTTCGAGGTCTACACCTGGAAAATTTTGAGCAACCTTGTCTTTGCAAATCAGAGAACTCTGAATACAACACTGGCTCTCCGAACGCGTCACCCCGAAATTCTTGCAACTCATAATGCCTATGCCTAGAGAAAAGGTATTCAGATAGCCGTTGTGGCTGAACACAGGATCAACCACGTGGGATGCGCTTCGTTGGAAAGCAATCCGATTTCGTGCTGGAGGCACTAAGTGCTGTGGCTAAGCATTGCACTTGTGCTGGAAGAAGCCGCGCTGCGATTGTAAGCCCACGGCCAACTACAGCTAGACGAGCTCGAGTTCACAGGACAGGGGCATAAGCCGCAAAGCTACAAGTTGAACCCAAGTACAAAGCTAGTTGGCGTGGTGCATCGCAGCGTCAGCACCAGTCTTTCAAAACCTCAGTTTGGAGTTGACCGGGTACAGAGTAGAGCATATTATAGTACATTATCTATGGTAGTTTACAGCATGTTACAGTATCTTATCATATCTTATAGTGCATTATAGTACATTATAGCAGGGGCATTTCCAGCAGCTTGCTGGCCAACTCTTGCGGCACATGATGCTCAGAATGCTGAGATCCCGACTGGCTGGGCGGTTTGCCTGCACGGCTACAGCAAGCTGTGCTGAGTTCACCACAATATCATTATTACTGCTATTATTACTGCTAGTACTACTGCTATTCAATTATTAATATCACTATTTCCATGCACATTACTAACTACTATCATTATTGCAACTCCTGCAGCTGTGGCAAAGGTTCAGGCTCCGGCCTTTGGCTCCGCCAGCCTTGCCCTTTCCTCTGCCAGCACCCTTGCCCTTGGAGCCACCTTTGCCGTCCTTGCCTTTGCCCTTTCCTTTGCCTTGCAGGCAATCACACCTAATTCGGCATCTACTGGGAATCTACTAGCTCCACAGAAGGGTAAACCTATCTATCAGTTAAAACTGCAGGGCAGTCCAGTGCACGATTGCTTTCATGAAATTTAGAAGACGTGCATGTGCAAACAAGCTTACAAGCCAGCGCTGTGTCTCGACTTAAAGGCATCTGAGTATATCTGAATGCTACATTGCGGGTTCACTCAAGTGCTCCAGATCGGCCTTTGCCCTTGCCTCCCCTGCCTTTGCCACCCGAACTCTGTTGGGTGGCCTTGGCTTCAGCTTCTGCAGTGAACTCACCCTGGGGCCATGGGCACTTGAAGCACAATTTCTTCGGGGCCCAGACGTATTTTTCCAGCTCGGGAGGGATGACAGCACCGCTGCGAACAAGGACAGAGGCAATTTCAAAGGCTTTCTTGTCCTGCCACACGAAAGGTCCCATCGCTTCTGTCAGCAAAGGCCAGGACGCTTGAAAAGAAACATGCCAATTCACCTCCTTGTGGAGCAAGAGGAGGGAGTAAGCCAACCCTTTCTGACCTGATGCGCTTTGTAATTGACTTCGGGGAGGACAGGCTCAGTGATCAGTAAGAAAAGGGATCCTCTGAGAAGCTACCCGTCAGTTCTGCCCACTGCAATGTAAGAGCACGGCCAGCACGGCCCGTCCTTCCAATTCCTCAGCGACTCAGGGGCCGGTAGCCCTCTAGCTGCAGAGTTCCGCAACTTCTCTGATCAAATGTGTTCCATCCCCCCAAAGAAGCATGGAGCCAGGACACGGTGGACGTAATCCTTTGCAGAGCTTGCAGAGTCGTAGTTGATGACACAGGTCACCCCCTGCTTCAGTTGCACTGCCAGTATCCATTCTGGAACATCAGAAAGTCGAAAATACAGAAACATATACCTTTGGTCACGCAGCACGCACCTTGATGTCCAGGCCCCGTGCGGCAACATCCGTGGCACAGAGGATTGGACTTTGGCCACTCTTGAAGGCCTGCCGCCGATTTGGACTAGATGCTACTAGTCCATGCTGTGGCTCCCGCTAATACTTGGAGGATTCTGGAGAAGCAGCAGTAGCTCCACACCAGGCCTCCAAAGCGCCAGTCCGCTCGTACTGAGCCATGTCGCCATGGATGCGCACGGCGGGCACCCCATGGTACTGCATAAGATCGTTGGCCAGGATTTCACAGGAGCCTAACAGCCGCAGAAAGCTTCTTGCAGGTCTAAGGCAATTTTGACTGGAGATGTGTCGATGTTGCACGCCCCTGTCAGCTTCCCACCCTCCTTTGCCGAGCAGCGCTTCATCTCGCAAAAGATCAGGCAACGGTCTCCGCGGCCAAGTGAGTGCAGGATCTGAAGGAGCTGCTGGGCCTTGTCAGGCACCCGCAGACCACAGCGCAAGAACATGATGCAGATGCAGACGTGCAGCCTTGTCCTCCTCATCAGAGCAGAAGACGACGCGCTGCTCAATATCTTTGTTCACCTTGCTTGGGTCGCTGACCACACAGCGAAAGTTTGATGTATTGACTGTGCACACACTGAGCATTACAGGGCTGTTTACGAATGTGCGCAACCTTATCAAACTAAGTATTGACAAGCCGCTGTCATTTCGTGGACTGCTCCTGTTTGAACATGGTATGGGCGCTTGAGAAACTCGCTCGCCAACGATCGAACTTCACGCGGCCAGGTCGCCTAGGTCTGTCAATGCCGGAAGTCCCTGTGTTGCAAAAACAGTGGCCGTCTAAATCTTGAACACTCGACGTGTGCTGCAGCATGAAAGCTGAGGCAAGTATCGGTGAACAGCAGCGTCTGCCGCTCTTCTGGGATCTGCTGGATGACCTTCAAACAGCTGCTGTGGCAGAACACAACCTACCAAACCTGCTGTGAGCAGATCTCCCTCGCTCGGAGCCTGTCTGATCTGTGGCTCGAATCCTTAATCTGACAGCTGCTCTGGGAATCTTTGCGCACCAGACATTTGCCAGGGCCGCCCAGTAGCCCATGTCAAGCATTCTGTCTGCCTCGTCCAAGACCAAGTAGGAAACGTTTGCCAGGCTTACTGCACCGCTGGACAGGAAGTCGTTCAGTCTTCCAGGGCATGCAACGATGACCTGCGCGGATAGTTTGGTCATGGATGAAGCAAGAGCCGGCGAAAGTTCAGCCTACCTGCGCTCCGCGGCGCAAGGCGCCCAGCTGCTGGCCACGAGGTGCTCCTCCGTAGCCTGGGCACTGCTTGTGTCACGGGCCAAGCTGGATTCCATGCGTTAAGTCGGTGTATTTCTGCCCGAGATGCAGCAGGCCGTCCGGATCCCCGCAGCTCGGCCAAAGCGGTCGGCTTCAGACTCGATCTGGCATGCCAGCTCCCGCGTGGGAGCGAGAACACAAAGTTGCGGCAGCCTGAAAGCACGCATGCAAAGAAGTTGCTCATTGCTGTCGTCTGGTTTTGCGGTTGAAGAGATTGCTTTACACGAAGCAATTGTTAAGGAATTCTGTGCAGCTCCTTGCAGTGATGCAACACTTGCAGGCTTGCACATGCTGGCATGCAATATTTAAAAATCTGAAACGTAATTGCAGCACATTGCATCATTTGGAATCTGGATTTTCTTGGCATAGAGTATCATAGAGTTCAGGACACTGTCCTGCATCATTATTTTTACGATTCATAAGATTTGAGCCTCCATAAACAGGATGCCCCAAGTACAGGCGCCAAAATAGAATGCCCCTGAGTATGGGGACTCCCAAAACTTGCCTCAAAGTCTCTCAAACCCGCGAAAAAGGAAGGCTGACGGCCAGGGGATGCCAGGCCGGACAAGCAACCCTTTTAAAGCATAGGATTCACATGCACTCGGCTTACATGGCAAAGCCCCTCTGCACATGAGACTTCGTGTTCAATCTGCGGCCTGGAGCGGGTCTGGGTGATCTTCAGAAATCCCGGCATGAGGAATGCAAGAGTCTTGCCACTGCCCGTTTTGGCAATGCCAATAAGATCGCGGCCAGCTACCCCAATGGCCCAGGTGTGTGCTTGGATGGGCGTTGGTGCGGTGAAGCCTGCTTCTATCAGCTTGTGCACGAGGATGTCTGGAAACATGCCCTGTGCCTGCTGAAAGGTTGTTACAGCTCCGGGCACCTGCTCACCCTGAGGCCCGAAGACATGGACTTGTGCAAACTCTTCGTCTGCCTCCGCGGACCAAAGCTCCTGGGCCTCGTATTCGGGCCCTGCTCCCTGGGAGTACTCTTGGCGCCAGCCAAACCCATTGTAGCCTGGCATTTGCGCCTCGTTCTGGAACCCTCCTCCAAATCCGTTTTGGGGATAGCCCGCCATGCCACCGTTGTTGTTGGTGTATGCCTTCACGGCGTCCTGGTATGCAAAAGAGTTGTCGGCAAAGTTATTTGCAGCATGAAAGCCGTTGTTGTTCCTTGGCTGCATCAACACCGGAAGATCTTGCAATAGCACTGCGCCCACGACGTTGGGAGGCTGCGAATGCTCTGAAGAACAGACACCTGCAACCTAGATTCAGGTATGGTGGTTGGCCATACACGTCATCATTGTTGTTGTACATTCCTGCAGGCACACTCAGAGAGCCCTGCACAAGAGTAATTTGAGATGCTTGACACGGAGTCTCTCAGCTACGAGAAGCAACACAACTTCCAAATGCTGTCACAGCCAAGAAGTCCCCGGTCCGTACTGCATAGCGTACCCGTTGTTGCTGCCTGCACATGGTTGAAACAGATCGGGCTTCCTACTGCAAAGAATATGGACCACTCTTGGCAATGGGGTGACGGCAAGTTGCAGCAGAAGCAACCATCCTCTTCTTACTGCTCCCTTCGTGGTTTACAGGCTGGTCTCAGTTGCTTTCACTCCTTACTTCTTCCTGTAGGCCTGCGCGTGCCTGCACCTTTCGGACTTTGCAACACAGAAGCAGAGGTGACGTTGCTGGAACGCAAAAATTCTCTCTGCTCTTTCATTAAGCCGATGTTGACTTGTGTTCGTACGAATTCACACAGATTGCATGGCCTTTCGGCGCGGAGTCAGCTGGCAAGAAAGTGGCTGCCATACCTGACAAAATCTGCTCCCTCTTGGAAATCAAAATGATAAAGACAAGGAATCCCACCTGCCTCACTATGCTTGGAGCATTCACAGGCCCCAGGACCTGCTGCGAAAAGGCTCTGCCACAGCACTACCACACCAAAGCCACGCTCTCACCAAAATGCAAGCTGTCCCAAAATGCAAACAGCTTGGCCTCCACAGCAGGACAATGGCACGGCGCCAATGCTTGTGACATTGTGGGCCGAAGGGCGGCGGTCAGAAAATAAGCGCACAGCAGCACATTTTTGGGCAGGACACTTAAGGAGCCGTCCCCAAAAAAAATCTAACTTTTTGTCGGCCAGCCTCTGCTAGCATGCAAATGCGGCAGCCCTCTCTGAATTAGGGATGGCAAGGGCGGAACAGCACGTCATCTGCACTTGCGCTACACAAGTCTAAAGCTAAGGTCAAATTTGCGGAAGGCCACCTAAAACACCTCCTTGGGCTCACAGCCTCAATTCAGCTTTGAGCCGGCCTCGCAGGAGCTTTACTGCATGGTTTTGGTCTACTCCGCCGCAGCTGTTGGTTCGGCTCGGAATGGCCAGCAGCTCGTTAGCATGTCAAAGGTCTCCTCTAATTCAACGCAGATCTCTTTGCAAATATCGCCCAGTTCGAAATCCTTGGGCTTAGATTCGTATCTGAAAGATGGCAAGGCCACGGCCAAGAAGCCATTTGCTGGTAAAGTCTGCGGCACGTGGGTCCGCAGCCAGAGCGGGTCTGCTGGATGCTTCTTGAAGACAATCACAGAACCCGGCCTTGCACCATCTGGAACCTTCACCATCATAGCATCTGGGACAAGTGGAATCTCTCTTACCCCAGGCGGAAACACAACTTTGATGGTTTGCACCTTCCCAGCTGTTCGAAGCTGGAAAAACATGGGCCTTTCAACCGGCGCAGGCTCTGCCCGGATCAAGAAATCAGGATCTGGACCAAAGCGATAGGTCTCCTCCTTGCCCGACTTCATCTTGGAAGATAAAACCACGGGAATATCACCCTGTGAGGTCTTGACCACATGAATCCTTCCATCATGGCCGCGTGGCCGCAAGAGTCGCTGCATCACCGATCTCTCAGGGACCTTGAAGCGTACGTTGTAATTCGGTTCGAGGACCGTCTGTGCTTCAATCCCTGGCGGCCGTTGTTTGGAAGCTGTTGCTCGGCAGGTTGTCTTGTGACCCTGCATAACTTCGCAGGTCGGCCGCCAGGTTGAGATCTTGGACTCGAAGGTGTGCAACATGCCTCCTTTGTCCTGGCGGAAGCATGGGCGAGTTCATGTTTCAACTGTGCACGTGCCTACCAAGTTTTGCCCGGAGCTCCTGCCACGATGATTCCCCGGTGGCAGTGGAGCTTGTCGAGTGGCCCCCCACCTTCTCGAGCTGTGGCGTGGACCCTTGCTGCGATAGGTCATCCTTGCAGGACCCATACAACAGCTCAAACAACAAATCCTGACCGGCTAGACTTCTGGCAAATCAACAAGAAAACAACTTCCATGATGACCCTGTCACTGCAGTAGAGCCCGGTGAGTCCCCCAATAGGACAGATCCATTCTCAGAATCGACATCCACAATCTTGCGTGTGGATAGATCCTTCTCTGTCCCCCGAAGCAGCATTGGCCCAAAACTATTTAAGAGTATCATGCCAATGACAGAGTAGCAGAGGACGTAAAGTCTTGCAGCTGTGAAAGTAAAATTCGTCACCGCACTCTCGTTGCCGTAGCCAATGGCAAAGAAGTGCTGCTTCAGTGGCTCTGCACCCAGGGCACCCTGAATGGTTGCGCGAGGAAGTGTGCACAAGAAGCAGAAACCTATGTCAGCAGGAATCTGGCTCAGTGCGCTGTCCCGACTCTTCATGGTCAACAGGGCGCCCACGGTGACACCCAACACGCGCGCGAGCAGCCCGCATACCATTACAGGGCCCAAACTCTTCCTTCAATGTTTCCAAATCTGTGCTCAAGTCTCATGGCGAAGTGCTCCATTTTTACTCAGCTCAAAACTACAGGAACCATTCAGTGTTTCCCAAGACACTACCAAGCTTCAGCTCTGGCAAGATGTCAAGTGTCATCTTGCTGCCCAGCATGCTGAATAGAAATATCTGTCCAAACACCCACACTTGACCCACCACTGTCCTGGGTTGCTATTACCAATCTACTGAACTTAAGTTAAGTTACCATAATACGGGTATATTTGTAAATGACAGGTCTCCTCAATACAGTAACTCAATTTGAAAAGTCCTGAACAGCAACCCAGTGTCGTGATGTCTGCCAGAATTTTCGGGCCGCCCTCGTAAGCGTCGCTGCATCGATTGGCAAATACAGAGGCCATAATGATGACCAACAGCTCTGACTGAAATGCAGGGCCTGAGCCATCATACTCTACAGGCCTAAGATGAGTCCAAAATTATTCATCCCTAAAATCGAATGTCCATGTCACTGTCCATTTCGTTTACAATCATTTCCTTCTCCTTTTTGGGAAACATGGGGTAACCCTACATAACCCCAATGTATATGGTACGTTTTTTCCATACAGAATCCCCTCCTTGTGTATACATCTAGTCCCACCCTTGGCCTGGCCTGGACAGAAAAGCATCGGAACCAATTCATTCCCCGACTCGCCCTTACCCAAGGATAGAGCGATAAGTGCCACGGAGATCAGGATCAGAAAGCCTTCAGTCTTGCCGCCTGAGCTGCAAGAATCAAAGTTGCGGCCCCTTGACCAGGCGGTCTTGTCTAGCTTCCGGTCTCTGCTGATTATGTTTCCTCGCGCTTCTATTGCTCTTCTGTTGCTAGCTGCTCTGGCCTTCAGTATCCGGATCATGGAACAGATCACTCAAGATGCGCATCTTCTTCCGGCTGGCTATGAACCAGGAACTCACACATCCTCGCAGGGACAATGACTTTGCAGCAGAGCTCAGTCGTGCCCTTTGCAAAGCCGTGACCCAGCCTAGCACAGCCCCCAACAGCACCGTCAGAACCAGGCGCAGAAGGTTGGCAAGGACGATGGTGCCGAAAGGTGTTGGCGCCTGATGGGCTGGCGACGCCAGGCCGGTGAGAATCCCGAAGGCTGTCAGCGCGAAGGAAGCCTGAGACTACACTGGGGCTTTGGAGGGCCTTGGGTGTGCCTCCCAAGCCATGCCATCACAATAACCTCCTTTCTGCGCGTACAAGGGTCCTGCCTCTAGGGGTGCCCACGCAAAGACCAGCCGCGGCAATGGATGATCTGGGAAGCTCTGTGAAAATTCCTGCCAGGCATCACGAATTGTCTGCTCAGTACCAAGAAGATCGGAAGCCTGTCGAGTATCCTCGACACTGTGGGCACAAGCACGGCCCTTTGTACAAGTCTTGAAGACGAGCATTGCGAAGGAGCCGGGCGTGCAGAGCCTGGCCTTCATCTTTGGAATCACAAGCCCGTCGCCCATAGCCACAAGGACACTTCCCAACACCATGCCCTCAACTGGGGTGTATTCCAACTCCTTGGCTAGTAGAGCACCTTATCCTACAACACAAGAGAAGCCACAGTACCACACACGCTCTCTTTGACACCCTCTCCCGAACTGAGCGCTCCACGTAGTGGGCATACGCAGCAATGCCAAGCAGCTCACAGCTTGCTGGCAGAAAGGCCATCCTTTGCATCTAGGTAGGTGTACTAAGAAACACTGCATAGCGTTCGCTATAATAAGTAGCCCTTATACAGGACGACAGGATATCACTTGGTCATAACTTGGCTTTTTTGCTTCTTAGCTTGGCGTAGGCAACCTAAAAGCTGAGGAGGACAGATTCCTACATCCCAGCTTCCCGCAAATAACTCATTTCCCCATTGGCTGCGGCAGGGTTGCACAAAAATATGGCCTTGCAAGTCTTTCGAGCGGATCTCCAGGCCAGCGATCAGAAGCACCAGGAAGAACGACAGCCTCGCAAACAATGTCTGATGGGGTCTTGGTCTTGGCCAGCAGACTAAATCCCAACCTATCTATTACTCAACAGCGTGTGACCCTTGTAGCTCGTCTCGAGCAAAGAAGAGATCGTTCTGGAAGAAGTGCTGAAATATGAAGCCGCTAACCATCACGCCTGGCAGGCAACCATCATTTTTTCGAGAGCCTGGTACAGCGGCTTACCCGACACGAACCGCTGGCCTACAGATGCGGGCAAGGCCAAGCGCACGAAAACAGCTCGGATGAGGCACCTAGCAGAAATTACTTCTGGCTCGAGTTTTTGCCATAAAAACCAAATCAAAGACAGCAGATACATCGGGGATTAAAGCTCGAGACACCCAACCAACATGATGTATGCCAGCCCCAGCGCAACGGGATATTCATAGGTAGCCATGGCCATGACTGGCTACTAGCAGTGGAGGCCTGGAGCACCTCAATACTTGCCTCGACCCATGCATTTACTCTGTGGCCATTCAGTGGTAGGCTGAATAGGCTGCTTGACATAAGATGCTGACTTCAGCTGTGATATCTTTTGCAAGACGCGCGAGCGGCAAAAGCAAGCACCTCCCACCCCCACTTCATGCTGTCTATGCATATGCCACACATGTGACAAGATTGGAGTTGCGCCAGATGTTGCTACCATTTTGCCTTTTTGAGCATTTTCTTGTCTGCCTTTGTCACGGTTTGAGCTGGAAGGCTCAGTCCCTTGTCGCCCCTGATTCAGAAGGAAGCTTACGGCACGGCACAGGCTTTAGTGCCAGAGCACAGCCTTCCCAGTGGCGCAGAACTAGTGCTGCTCTGAAGCAAGCACCCCTTGTCTCGCGACAATTAGATATGCAGTCGCAATTTGCGTGCACATGAAACAGATCCGGCACGTGCACTCAGCACCTGTCGGTGACTTGCGCAAGTCTGTTTATGTGAAGTCTTGGAATACCTTGCCGCCGCGTGTAGATTCAGGAATAAAGCAGCCTTGCAACTCTCGAGTGGTGCAAACATGGAACAGCACCAACAAACATTAACCAGCTAACTTGGGAGCTGCTGTTGTTCACGCAGGCTGCCCGCTGGAGCTTGCCCGCCTCAGGGGGTGTGCACATGGCATCACATTGTCGTAGGTATACCTATCTATCGACATCTCTTCATCCACACATTGACATGTGTATCTCCATTCGTCTTTGTCTTTTCTTGCTTTGTATGTCTCAAGATATTTATATATAGGCATACACCTATCTCTACCTGAACATGCTAGATGCCAAGTTGCATACATGTATCGGCAAGCGTATGTGTATAAATCATATAGGCTCGCTGGAGCCAGCGCTAACAAGCTTGACTTCCTAAGATCCCCGCAAACAGCTCATGCTTCCACTCAGAAGAGCAACCTCAGGCCGTGAGCCAAGGGGCACTAGACTGTCAAACAGGTTTCCTAGACACCCAAGGCCACCTGTATCAACAAGAATTGTCTGTTCACACAAGTTCAAGGCCTAACACGGAGATATGCGCCTATTGCAGATGCTGCCCCAGTCCCCCTACGATGGGCAATGATCCAGGGCGGCTTGCTGACCCTGTCTGCAGCACTTCTGCAACACTTGGGCTTCGACAGCGCACACCACCAGGGCAGTGCTGTGTGAGGGTACCTGCGCTCCTACCATAAAAACATATCACCAACATCCGAACAATGATCTGGCGGTCACGCGGAGCAGGACACAGAGGGCGAAAGCGTTCTGGGGAACACGGTACAGGCTGTAGACAAGGGTTCCTGCATGCTGCCGTGCTTCCGAACATTCTTAGCATAGAGATAAGGACAAGCAGTCATCGCTGTGGCTTGGGCCAGGCTCTGCTCAACTCTGGCTAGATCTGCCAAGGCACTCACACGATCTGGCACCACGTGGCTTTTCACCGTGCTGATACATGGGAAGTACATCCCCACGCACCATTCAAACAGCACAAAGGCAGCCTCAGGATAGACCCCAATCAAAGGCAAAGTCCAGTCCATCAGTTCATGGTCTGCATGAATGCATGTGCCCAGCAGCCAATGCCAAGAGCACGGACTGCGTCTGTGCTGCATAGGATGCCATCAGGAGAGCCAGTGCCGCGACAGTCAACAATGGCTGCAGCAACCTTTCCGGGCTCCTCAGACTGGCTCAGAACTCTGTTTTACAAAAGGCGTAAATCCGGGAAGTTTCCATAAATGGGGACTCCAATATAAGCCCCAAACTATAAGAAACTACTATCCTTCGTCCCACAAAAAGGTGCCCCTGATTTTCGGAAACCCCGAAGATTGGAAAGTGCTTGACTTGCTGTCCAGGAGACCGTGCTGATGACCTTATGCATGCGCAGGGCTGATTAGTTCAAAAACCAGAGACATTCGTTTTGAAGCACCCTGGGCCACACATTTGCGTACATGCTTTTATTTGCAAGGCTGCAAGGCCCCGGCAAGGTGTTAAAGCACCAGGAGCCACAAGCACACGACGCCCTTACAACAGAGGTAGCTGGCGCACACAGAAGTCACACATTACCCGCTACAGGTGGGCCAGAAATGCTGCTTTACTGCAGCATTCCTGTCGTCCCAGCTGGCGCAGGTGTACCATCGCTGCTAAGAACATATGCATTTTTACGTCGATGCCCAAGACAGCTGAGACCTCCGCATGAAGAGGGAGAACACCAGCCTGTGAAGCGATGGGCACGTCTACTTCACTGCAGGCACCAACGGCACTCGACTCGGAACATAAATATTGGTTCAGGCGAATGGCCCGAGATGGGGCGCAAGACCTGGTGCACCATCGAGGAGCACTGGCGTCCAGCTATAAACAAAAACCTAAGTTCATCAAATGTTCTTGCGCCAAGCCAAGCCATGTGCAAACCAGTCTTTACTTGCAGTTTAGCCTAGGCTATGATTTGCCTGAGCTGCGTTGAGCAACAGGTTAGGTGCATCATGCCAGGTCAAAGTTGCCAAGTCACAAACAAGGCGCCCTCAAAGGCGGCGGTAACCGCACCATACAAGATGATTGATGGATCTGCTGTAACTGCCTGAGATGCTTCAGCCGGAAGCAGGTCTACACGGCGTCACTGTACACAAGCGCCCAGATTGCCCCTCCAATCGTGCCAGAACACAGCATGTACTTGCCGCAATCCTTCCATCATGGAAGCTGCGGCGCAGCTGACGCATCTCTGCAGACCTTGAAGAAAGATCTAAGAGTAGCTAAATTGCTCTCCCTTTGCACACTCCACTTTACCCAAGAGCTTTCTGTCTGACTAAGAGTTCGAAAGTCCCTTTCCCAGCACATGCCAAGCCTGGTTGGCTTCAGCGGACAGGCTTGGCGTCAAGGAAACTGATGGGTGCAGGAGGAAACCGAACAACAAGCAAACATCCAGATGCCCTGAATGCACAGCCAATCACCCCAGTCAAGCACGGATCAGTTGAGGCAAGCGCGCTTCAAAATCCGAGACCGCTGTGGTCTTGCAGGCTGCCCTTAGAAGCGATGCGGTTACAAAGCAAGAGCCATCCTTGCATGCAGGACATGAGGCCATCGGTGCAGCTATGAGGGGATTTCCCAAAATTAGAGGTACCTGCTGGGGGTCCCTATAAGAACTTTTCAAGATTTGGGGGTCCATATTGTGGTTCTATTTCGGGAAATTGCCAAAACTTTGGACATCTCATCTGAGGCCTTGCAGCTTCAACTCCGGCCCGCTCGGATTGACCACAACCCCGTACAACAAAAATGCGTAGTCTGCCTTGTAAATCTATATCTGCACGTCGGGCGTGCCACAAGCAGAGTATGGGTACATCGGCATTGATTCATCAACTTCAGCATGTCCACGTGTCTCAGGTGTTCTGTATCAGTGCACAGCCGCATTAACCAGAACATCCACTTTTGAACACAAGTTCATGAGTCCATACCTGTCATGTCCTGCTGAGCATCCTGAAAACTTTACGAGTACATGACGTGGTGTCCGGGTCACACAGCGTTGGGCTGCGATCTGTAGCGGGAAGGATTTGCAGGTTCTGGTCTTATCGCCAAGTGTCGCGGACTGGTCCAAAGCATTCCCTCTGTGCTGCGTGGCGCTTCGGCCGGCCGCCAGAGGACCTGAATTGAACCCGAACAGAGCCTCTGAGCTGCGTGAAGTCCTAGTCTTTTTGTTGCAGGACATTGTGCAAGCAGAAGTGCGTTGCGTCGCATGATATGGCCAAGTTGCACCGATGAGGATGGCCCCCAGTAAGCAAAAGACTGCGGCCAAATCAAAGGCTGCCGTCGACCCGCCAAAAGCCTCAGCGACAGCTGCCAAACTTGACATGATGCATGACGCCCCAAACTCTCTTTGCTACAGCCGCAGCATATGCGAAGCGAGCGGCCAGATTCGTCTCCAGCTTTATGGCTTCCAGACTGAGAGCATGACTCCTGAGATAAGCAGATCAATCGGTGGTATCCCACTGACCAAAATCTCAGCCGCCATATGTGGGTTGACTTTCATGAGAAGAAAACCCCGGACAATACGTGCAGAGATTTGCTGATGCGTGCAAACTACTGTCAACTAGTTGAACTCCGGGGTGAGGCACATAGAACCTTTACTCCACGCGACTGCACCAGCTTTTGCTGCCCAAATTCTGTGATAGCTTTGCATCAAGACTGCGCTAACCCTACAGCTCTTAGCAACAATCCAAAACAACATCCAACATCTATGCTGGCTCGTGGCAAACAATAGAGAGGATGCAAACACGTTCATTCTAAACCCGATGCCGGGACATCCATTGTGCGCAGCCATTGGGCCTTGCATAGGAGTCTTACGAGCGTACTTTGAAGGATGGTTGCTTCCACCTCAGGATCATCCTATACATCCACACATATCACTATACACCCCCATGCACCCCTATACATATACACACCCGGGCACGTTGCGGGAACTGCGCTGACCACTGCGCTGCCCACAATGCCAGAGATGACCGCAATCAGCCAACTGCCAGACCACATGCCTGGGAGCATGCCACATCAGAGTGCAAGACATAACGGGATACTGGGAAACAATGGAAGAGGAAATGGAAAGACTAGACTGCTTCGGGTTTAGAGGCTGAATAGCAAGTTGAATAACAGAACATCAAATGGAAAAGGAACATGGGCCATGAAATGGAAGCCGAGCTTAAAGTATTTAGGGGTTATGAGGGTTATGATTGTGTGATTATGTTCTACTCAGTTTGGTGCAAGCAGTTACAACAATGGAGGCAGTCGCCCAGTCTTTCTTCGCTTAATCCATGCTTCTGTTTCGTTATCAACGCCTCGCATCATTGGAGCCGGACGCCTACACTGCGGTAGCGCGGTAATGGCGATCCTACCCCAATGATGCAATAACATGTCTGGGAATCCAGGCGTTCACGTAGGCTGTGGGCAGGCTTTGAGCCCGCCCTGCCTGGGTATCCAAATACAGGGTATAGTATTACTCTTACATTGCTACTTGCAAACTTACGGGGTTGTCTTGGATGCCCAAGCTAGTTAGAGTGAAACACGACCACAGGTCTCATGCTGCGACTCGGGGAATCATTGGAGGCTTGCTGGCCCTGGCCCTGACCGCCAGCGCCAGGAACTCCAGGAACTGGTAGCCGCAGCTGTGGCCTGGCCCCGGCGCTGGGGCTCGCATTTACTGGGACGGGCGACATGGGTGTACCAGGAAATCCTCGCTGCAGGACGGGCCGTGCCCATGGAGAGGCCACCATGGCCGGAGCAGCAGGGGACGAGGCCACAGAAGGGTCAAGGCTCCGCGAACTGCTCACATCCTTGATGGAGTCAACACCAACTGGTCCCAAGTTTGGTGACGTCTCTGCGAAAAAGTTGGCAAGGTCGGAAGAAGCCTCTGCCAAACGTCTTCTCGCCTCGTCCACTGCTGTGCTCCCATCCGGAGTGGTCTGCAGGCATGCAGCGGAGGCATTGAGCATGCTGCTGCTCAAACGTGACAGTGTGTCGAACAAGTCCAGAACCAGCAGCAAGTTGGTCTTGGAAAGGTCGAGGATGCCCTTGATTGAGTCGGGGCTATGATCTGCTGGAAATGCGGCCTGGTTGACGCGCACTGTGTTGGACCCTGTCTGCGGCACTTGGCCAAGCTGCGAGTGCAGCATCAAGCTGTTGCTGAGTTCGCTAACCTGCTGTCTTAGCCGTTGGTTTTCCTCCTCAAGTCTCTCATTCTGCTTGCGGATCCCGGGTCCGAAAGTACTCCTCGGAGATCGAGATGCATCTGCATGCTCAACCAAGTTCTTTGGGCTTGCTGAGACAATGCTTTCCCGAAGGCTGTCATAACGTTGCCTGAGCTCCGCTAGTTCGCTCGGACCTTGCTCTGACCAAGGATGATTAAATTCATCCAGGTCAAAGTTCTCAGGATCTTCGCAATGTGCCTGCCAGACCTCCTGCATGATCTGCAAACGGGAGCAGAACTTTTCAAAGGTCCAGTTGTACAGGACCTCCACCTCATCCGTTCCAACGCCACCAGCTCCAGAGGAAAACTGCTCTAGGAGAATCTCGCTGGAATGCATACTTGCTCTTCGAGCACTGATTGCAGAGGCTTTAGCTTTTGCCTGGCTGGGCGACATCTGTCGCACAAGTCGGACTGACAGTTCTGGACACAAGGAACGGCCATAACCCAGCGCCAAGATCGGCGCGATGGTGCACAGCTCGAACCTCAATCACTGCACTGAAAGGTCATCACAAAATCTGTCTACACATGCTACACCTATGCTACCGCAGGTGGGCGCTCAAAAAACATCAAACACTGCATCATCTCACCTTGTGACTTAAGGTTGGTCTGTCCACCCGGCTTAACCTCGGCAGTGATCTGGTTGGCCTCCTCCACCATGGTGGCTGCCTCTGGGGGTGGGGTCGTTGGGCCTGCTCCTGAAACCGGCTTCTCAAATTCCGCCACTTTGCCACGTTTGGGGTTGCCACCGATAGCTGGCTAAATTCGTGACACTTTCTGGTTGCAAGATGAAAGCAGTGAAGGACACAAGCAGGGCCAGGTTTCCTTCCTCGTCCAATCAAGTCGACACTGTTCCAATTTGAACAACAGCAGCAACCCACCCAAAAACAGGTATGATCCAAAGGGACAAAGATGTCGAGCCTCGACAACCACCCAGGATAGGTAGATCCACGAGATTGATTGGGATTGAAGACTCAAAAGCCAGAGGTGCACCATGATGAGCAGCGCTAAAAACCTAAAGGCCTGCCTTCTATCCAAGTTAACACGCTATCAAGTATTTTACTTTGCCCATGATCTGTGCACGCCGATAAATTGCGTCAGTTCCGTAATAGTGTCCCGCTCTTTTGTCCCAGCTCACATGAAGAACACCCACTCGCATGCCAGCGGACGCGTGTGCCCCTGCCTTTTGGGCCATGAGCATGAACTCCTGAACGGAGGTCGCACCATCGCTATCCTTACATCACAGAGAGCTCAGGCAAGGCTTGCAACTTTTCACTGAGAAGGCTTCTCTCCATTCCAAGCAGCCAGGTTGTGGCTCTTGAGTTCAGACATGTACTTCAAGGCCATCTGAAGCTGACCCGGCTGTTCAGCTCTGTCTTTCCCCAAAATCTCCAAGATTAACGACTCCTGCGGCAGAAGGGACGCTCAGTCGTGCAGTCCAATCCCTCTTGTGAAGCTCCTGCTGTGAAGGCCTCCCAGCGGCTTTGTCGGCTGGGAGGGAATGTATGTCGCTTCCAGGCTTGGTGAAGGCCTCAAGCCACGGGGCCAGGATAGAACTGCAAGGGCTACAAGATGCCAGGCGAGTTCAACTGAGAAAAGAACATACAGCATCACAGAGCGGCCCAGGACAACGCAGTCCAAATGTTGCAGCTCGACGTCTTGAATCGTCTTCAGCTGAACGCCATTGACCTGCCCACGAATGTGCACAGCTGCCAAATTGCGAACAACTACATTTTAAGTGCATGATGGGACTTTCGCCACAGGCGCACAACCCCTCCTCGATGCTGGAGATTGCGCTGTCAACCTTCTTTGTCGGATGCCACTCCTCCTCACTGCTGCTACTGCTCCTGCTCAAAAACAGTGGCAAGTGAAGGCCAATTTTCTGCGCAACTATCCAAGACATGCCCACACAAGACACTGCGCATCAGATTCTGGGCTCCTGTCCGACTGCGCGGCTGGCCGGAGGAACAGGCGGCCATCAGCATCCTTGCGGATGTAGCAAGTGACCTGCTGGATGCCAAGGCCGTGTGGGACCAGGAAGTCACACTCGGTCTGGTTGTAACCCAAGGAATACTCGCGGCCGGGCTGTGCCGGATGGAACAGCAGCCGACCCCGCATGTGCGGATCATCGGAGTAGTTGGCCAAGTGTGGGACTTGGCGCTGCTGCACCTTGTTAGCCATCAGCACATGGTTCATCGCCCAGCTCCAACGTGGTGCCCCCAGCTTTTCCAAAGCAGCGCCACGCTGAGACATGAGCCGCCTGGCTTCAGTGGAAGCCTCAGTCCATCCTTTGCGATATCGCTCCACCAAGGCCTCCGTGGCCTCTAGCTTGTCTGTCAGGGTGTCAGCGTGAACCTTCTCTTGTGCCTCTGCCAGCTGCTCTTTGAGGGACTGGAGTTCCTCCTGCAGTGTCTTGACCAAGGCATCCTTATCGACAGCTGTCGCAGGTTTTGCCTTGATCTTGATGTTCTTAACTGTGGAGGCAAATGTCAGGGTGCTGTAGCTCTCTTCGAAGTTTGCAAGCGCTGGGCTGAGCGTGCCGATCATGGATGTCTTGGAATTTCCGCTCAAGGCGTTGGACAGCAGGAGAGTTAGCTTGGAATTCCGAAATCTTGACATCATCGAGTTCCCTGATGCTTGAGCATTCGCGCTCATGGACTTTCGCGTGTCCGGCTTCGCTAAAGCTTGTATGCAACTTGCAAGCCACATTAGGCTTTGATTGATGAAGGTCAGCTCCACCAGCCTTTCGCCTGAGACCTCATCAGGGGGGCGACTTTCTCAAGAAAAATCATCAGCCCAAAATGCTTGATGTCATCGCAGGTGCGCACTGTCACTGAACAGACCCTCCGGCTTTCACGGCAAGATGTTGCTCTCCAAAAGATCTAGTAGCCCACAGCCTCAAACCTACCATGCCAGTGCAATCCAGCAGCTTTGGTGGTCTTCTCATTCTCTCGGCCAGCAAGATCCACGAAAAATGCTTCAGACGTCACAATGGTGGTGTCAGTGCCTCCACCTTGGCACGCAAGTTACAAGTGCTACAAGGCTAGCGGTAAACACCGAGATCATTTTTGCCTGGATCCTTTTCTGCGAAGCCTCACCCGGGAAAACCGCGCAGTATGCATCACTACCCCAAGCGCAACATCAATGTCATTCGCTGAAGATCACATTTCAGAGGGTTCTAGCATGTTCTAGCTGAAAGGTTAAACCAGAGACGTAGGTGAATCCACTTGACGCAGCAGTTTGAAGGAAAGTCCTCAAGATACTTGCCCGTCAGCACGTGGCGTGGTCAAGCAGGCATCAAAGAGTCTATAGCAGGGCCTTTGCCTCCTCCGAACTTTCTTGCAAGACCGGCCACGCTTCTCCACCATCAGTTTGAAGATTGTATGAGCACGAGAGCTCTTGGCATTCATGGCAGTTGCAGCCACGGTCTTCATCGTGTTGCCATACCTTCCAACAAAAGGCTCTCTCAATGACAGTCCTTGACGGAGTCTGAGCCCTGTGAGCTCCAACCAATTTCTACTAGGACAGTTGCATGCATTCCTCCAAACACAGGGTGTGAGCAGCAGCGTCTGTTTCTGACTGGTGGCTCGATGAGCTGCACGCAGTTCTCGAAAGACTCGACTGGCTCGTCTGCAACACCCTTCACATACCTTCGCTCTCATTGTTTCCCAAGATTTTGCCCGTAAAACGTAAAGCGATTACACGAACAGCATGCCAACTGTCGAGCACCAGTGCGTCTGCGTCACACCCCTAACTTTGGATGAACATGCACCTCAGGATTGTGACGGGACTTGCCATCTTTGCCTTGGCCACCGTGTTCAGATCTTATTGGATGTTCACAAAATCAGACCGGATTTTGGACAGCCAGCCTGCCTCCTGAAATAGAAATCATCTACTTACTGCATGGAAGTAACCACTCATGGGTTGTAGGAGATCACGAACTTTCTCGTTGTAAACCTCCCGGTGCCGTTACCACACACACACACACACACACACACCACCCAGCACAGCAAGAGCAGGCCGGCACCAACCTCCAACATCTGAACTTTGCAGTGTACCTCCGAGCCCTGATTCTGAAGCTCGGCCATCCTCAACATACAGCAAAGCCTCTAAGCAAAGGCATAACACTAATAATAGTAATAATAGCAATAATAGTAGTAATAATCATAATAGTAATGATGGTAGTAGTAATAATAACAATAGAATAAATAATGCAAGGCAGCAGGCCATGAATATCATGGATGCCTCCTTCCCAAGAGAGTTTGCACACAAGGCTCTCTGAAAAGAGGTCATTCATCAGTCGGAGCAGTAGGCCTTGTTCAGACACAGGCTCCACCTCAGGGTGTACAATGTACAGAACAGGGCAGCAAAATTTAAAAAAAATGCTGGGATGACACTGCTGCACAGTGCACGCAAGCTGAGACGGACCCATCCCTTCCAGGCGACCTTTCCCATGATGGTGGTGGTCTTGCCAGTACCCGTCTGGCCGTAGCAAAACAGGCAACTGAAGTAGCCTCCAAGGACGTGGTCTACCATCCTGGCCAAGCAGAGCGTGGAGCATGGAGCCATGATCAGCACAAGGGGATTGTTTTCAGGGAGTTTCTGCGCCTTTTCGCCATCATCTGGTAGCACTTATCCTGGGACACGTAGTTCCGTGCAGTGGGATCCGTGCTGTCCATAGCGCAGTCGAAGGCAAAATCCAGGACCTTTCAAGGTTACTGGGGCGCTGTCAAAAAAACCCTCAAACACTAAAAAAAGCCACCGTACTTACCCCTGCCTTGGCCTTTTGAGATTGCTCGGCCACCATTGGGTCAACATGGACTATGTTGTCCTCGATGGTCAGGCACCTCGGACTCCGCATCTAGGCATTGAATCCAGTACGTGCGCGGTCAGTGGAAAAGGAAGTTGTTCAGACCCGCTGCAATTCATGAGCAGCATGACTATCCCGGTCTCAGAACGCAATGGAAAGACTGGAAACCAGATTTGACTGAGTTCCGCACTGTTCTTGTCCAGATTCATATGCCACGAATGGGCGCAACCGAACCCCCACACACACGGCCTCTGCCATGCAAGCGCTGGTCCCCGGGCATGGGGTGCCGAGGAGGCCGCAACAATACTTGAAGCTTGTTTTACTCGACCAGGGCTAGCTGGACTGAATGTCTGTGGGAAGTGTACTTAAGAGTTTTCAGAATGCATGTTGGACCGGTTGGGCTTGCTCATTGATGCCTGTCTTGAGTCATCGATTTGGCAAGCTGAAACAGCTGCAGCCATCCATACCAAAACACCTCTGAGCTCTCTTATTCTCATCTTACTGCCAAGTCATGAGCATGTCGGAGAACATCAGCAAAGTAAGTACCGGGAAGCCTATGGGGTGTCATCAATGCAGCAGCAGGCGCGAGAAAGCAGACGTCGCAAGGCCGCGTCCGTTGAAAAAGGCTGCCGCTTGTGCTCCTACCGAATACTAGAGATGGTAGGATGGGTTCGGCAAGGTCCCACTGCTACGTCCGCATGCACATTGGCTCAGCACGAAGTTTTTCGTGCACTGAATAATCAATCTCCATGGAAGAGGGTTGGGCGTGCTTTTTTTTCAAGTGGCGGCACTGCACCGCACACAAATAACTACATAAACAAAGTCATCTCTTGTCTGAGCTGGGGAAAATACATACAGGTTGGGCCAGGTGTGAGTACAGCGCCAGCAAGGGTTCTGGGCGCACGCTCGCTGGTCCCAAGCTACCCCAAGCAAAGCTCCCCGAAGCGCCAGGGAAGACCATCCCCCAATGCCTCGATCGCCCATGCCTCAAAGGCAGTGTAGAGCAAGGAGTCCTGGGATTCCGGCGTCAAGACGGGTTGAGTAGCTCAGCAAGCACGAGTTGGCACCTACATGCCTCAGGGGCCTAGCTGTGCTGCCCAGCTGCAGCAATCCCACCCAGAACCCGACTGAAGGCCAATATGGGCACCATTGCGCTGTGCACGAGGAAGCAGGAAAGTCCTGCACAGGCCTCCAGCAGGATTAAGCTTGGGTATAGAGCTGCGTCAGAACCAGTACCTTCAACGTTTCATGATACTGGACTACATCTGCAGGCCCTCAGTGGCAGGCGCAGTATAACTGGCAACCGCGGCTTGTGCCAATCCTTTCACAACAGTGGCGCAGAGCTTTGGCACTCGGGTTCTCTATGCTGCTATGATATTCTGTACAGTCAAGACCTGGATCAAATCCACTATCCACCGGCTCTTCAAACTCAAACGTAGTGGGCTTGGATTGCAAATTGACCCACAAATCTTCAGCGCCAAGGCAAGCACCGATCACAAAGCCGCCCCGCCACTGATCCCAGCGCTGCCGAGGACACGAAGCCAACAGCAAAGAGCTTGGCGATGACCAGGCTGCCTTTGGGTTTGGAATTCGCTGCGTCAACGGTGCAATGCATGGCCATCATATTTCACAGCAACTGGCAGCGGGCATGCGACACCGACAAAACTTAAACTTACAGAACCCTATGCACGCTTAGGCACTCAAGCCCCTGTCAGCATAAAGTGCGTAAAGGTAGGGTCCTGCAGCCCAGGCCGCAAAGCTTGCAGTGCTGAGTATTGCAGTATGCTGAAAGCGCAAGTCTGGCTTTCCCAAGCAGCCCTGCAGAAACTCCTTGTAGCCAATCCGCAGCCACACAGCTGAACCATACCGGCAGGAAGCGCGCCTGCGCAGGCCCAGGAAACAACTGCACAGGTCAAAGAGTAGTCACCACGGATGCTTGCACTGCCAGGCACTGCTACACGTGGCATCCGACCTCAACAGGCTGGGCCAACGGTGTTGGACAAGGCATGCTTCGCTGGGATCGAAAGTTCTGGCCGGCTTGGCCCGCGGTCTGCCGACAGGCAACCCGTCTGGCCTTGGAGGCTGAGATTTGAGGCTGGCGACTCTATGATGAGATTGGCATGAGAGTTGAGTTTGAAAATCTCTGACAGCAACTAGGCACAGCAGCCGCCAAAACCTGCAGTGCCTACTCCTCACTTTTGAATCCCTTCCTAAGCTCCCAGTCCACCTAACGAAGAGCTGAGCCACTCTTTCTTTTCTTGGCGCTCCACACCCCGGTGCAAGGCTATCTGCTGGGCAGGTGAAGCCTCGCAGACAGCTTCAACAAGCGGCTCCCTGCTTCACGCTGTTGGTAGCATTCATTCACATAGTTTGATGTAGCGGAAGCATCCAGTTCGTCGGTGGCCCAGATTTTGATTGGGTAGCGCAAACACGAGCAGGGCCTTTTGCAGCGAGCTGCGCCATCAGCAGAACCTGTTCAGAATGCTAACGACGCATGGCATGGAAAAGCAACAAGGACCTTCTTCAACGACCACAAGCATCCCCGAACATCAGACTACCACGTAAAACCCACCGAACTCAACTTGGGGCTGCGTTTATGGCCTTGGCTGCAGTGGCGAGCGGCATCCACTTCAGACTCCCAACTCCCGATCACCGACATGGCTGCTACCCTGATCCACGAAGCTGAGCGGTCAGTGAGCTCCATCAGATACACATGTACTGACAGCCAATGACCGTCTCGGCTTCCTACCTCCGAAGCCCTGCCGAAACGCCATTCATAAGGATTTTAGCTGCAGTGACACAAACGACGCTCTTTGCATCAAGGGTATGGGCCAAAAAGCGAATTTCTCTTCAGCCGCAAGCCCCTAAAATGAACTGGTAAGAATGGCAGGAGTCAAAGTCTATGCCTCGCCGGCTGCCACCGGCCATGATCCGCTGTCTACGTCAACCATACTTGCAGGTTGCCAGCTGTGGAGTGCTGATGGCACTGGGCACCCTGCCTACCTCATGCAAGTAGCAGATCATGACAATATCTTCCAAGTGAAACATGGGGCATATTGAGCAATCATGCGGAGATCGCTTCAGCAGGACCTGGTCCTAGAGAAGCGACCTGGCCAGCATGATATCGACAGTCCCAGCATCTTGCATAATCTCTGGGTTTCTCTCTGACCAAACAAGTCAAATAACGCCTGATCCACTGGCAGGACGTCCATAAGCTCATCGGACACCGGCTCCTACGCCAAAGTTGGACGCAAAATGTAGAATCCAATGGCTGGCAAAGTCCCCTTGACGCGGCGGATATACGAAGGATGTCAGGATCATCTAGCTCGGACCTTGTTGACGATCGCTGCGTCCCCATTCTCTTCCACCAGTAGACGCTCCTGCTCCGCTTGGCTAAGCTTCCTCGGCCCCAGCTGGGTTCTTCTTGAATCCAGGTCTGTGACGATCACTGAGCTTTGCGCTTGCAGCTCTGTAAGCAAGCAGCACTCAGCACTCAACTTACAAGTTTACACATGCCCAGCTGGAGCGATTGCCAGCTCTGATCTTGATATCCTTCCTCACTGTGTCTGGTGGTCCTACTGTCTTCCTTCCAAACTTCTTGCCTGCCGCCCAGGGGCTCTCTTCTCACGACCTTGTCCTTAGAGCATCAATTAAGTAAGAACGTACCTGATGTTTGACCTGCGCACACCTGTCTTGCCAAGTGACGTTGAGGTAGCCCACTTTCTCGACTTCGCCAGACTGCAGGAACATTATCCCTCGCACTCTAACGCCACCTTTCCACTCCTGGGTTGGCTTAGGGCGTGATCGGGCAATGCTCAGCATAAATCGAAGAGTATTGGGAAGCAAACCTTTGCTACTTTTGCAGCACAGATTCGCCAGAGAATTTTTCTCCAGTCATCTCATATGTACACTTCCTTACAGCAAGCGATGCGGACTTTACCGCCTACTTGTAGTACTGCTGCATCGAGAAGATGGGAATTTGCCCGCTCACAGAGACCCCACAAGTATGATCGCTTTGGACAGAGTGGATCGAGAACTCATGCTGCAGCCATGTGGCCCCTGACCTGACCTCAATCCTTCATGGAATTCGCCCACGTAGTCGCTCTGCTCCTCAGCGCACGAATGTTCCGTTGTCGCAGAAGCAGAAGGCACTGTGAAGCCCCGGCATCAGCGTCATGAAGGCGACCCTTGCCCTCTGGTATATCTGCCTCGGCCACTCAAACCGCAACCCAGGCCTTGCACATAGGTTGCATCAGTGAACGCTTCATAAGGCTCACTACTCGAATCCTTCCTGTCTACTCTGCAAGCACCTCTTTTCGATGATTGATTGGCGGGATTAAGCCTGAGACTTTGAACTCACCGTCATAGCAGCTGCCATTTGGCAACCTGCAAGAAGGTGTGAGCCACTATCACTTTGCATGGCAAAACTACAGGCCTGTATGAGCCGAAACCATGGCGAGCATCATTCAGCCAGCCGCCACTGTACTGAGCTCCGTCGCCGAAGCTCATTTGCCCCTAAACCAAGGCCAGCAATGTGCATGGAAGATATCGAAGACGGAAGTGGCTAGGAACAAGGCCTGTCCGTGGCGCATGTCGTCAACCCAGCTTCCGTTGTAGGCCTTCTTTTCACCAAGGAAAGCAAGAATAAGGAGTCAGCATCCATTGCAGGGCCAAGATCGTCGCTGATCCATCTGGGTACTTCATCAAGCCCTGAAGGAGCTAGCATGAGCTTCATTCAAAATTTGCAGATCTCGACCGGCTTGGCATCAGCACTACCCGCCTGGCCGTGCCTCAAATCAGCGATCCACCGTCCCTCATATTCGGCACCATCCTGATACCTTGGATCAGGCTTCCCGACCAACTGTGCAGCTCGGCCAGGGATGGGGTCAAACTTCTGCAGCACGGTGACGAGAACTTGCCATAGCCATCGCGCTTGCTTCTCAGCCACTGCCCCTCGTAGCTTTCTTTGCGGGGATAGTAGAACCTCGCGGCAAGCTAAGTTTCATCCTATGGCCAGCTGTAGCGTGATCTTCAGAACTCACCGCCCTGATCAAATACCAGCATGTGCAGCCCAGAAGCGTGCCAGTGCCTTGCATCATTCCTTCGTGGAACTCGCCCTCATAGTAGCCGCCATCTGCGCAGTAGTAGGTGCCAGGCCTCAGGGTGCCAAAGGCTTAGCACTAAACACCTTGTCCTGTCCCCGCAGCAAGGGCAGCAAATGTACCCTGATGATGAGATACTGAAAAGGAGGTCTGAGCCGTATGCCCATGGCGAGCTCCGCGCTTGAACTGGCCTTCCTTGCTTGTAGCACTACATGTGCCAGTCACAGATCTAGACAGCATGCTTTGATACAACCGAGGCACATAGGAGTCACCATTCGGGTATTCCTCAAGCAATGTGGAGCTAAATGTCCGAGCCTAACCGGGCACTGAGATCTACGTATAGTGCACCCTGCCTCTCTGCTGAAGCCATTCAGCAAGGCCATGGCCGCATCTGACTTGGCCAACTGTGAGCCGAGTCCTGGACGAGCCTTCTGCAGGTGACAGACCCAGGAGAGCAACCACAAGCTTCTGTTGAAATAACGGGAATGCACAGGCAACAGCAAAAAAGAGGGATCCTTTTGACGCCTTGTATCGCTGTGCTCTTTGGAGCTATCCATCCTTCTGCACCTATGCGGCGCCATCCCCTGCCACACTTCTTGCCACTGAAGCCTCATGGAGATGCGTGCGTGACTTGTGCACTGACTTAGACGAGCTTCAAAATTGCAACTCGAAAGCAGCACAACAGCACTAAGCCCGAATGCATGACCATGCTTGCCTGTGCTTGGTAAACATCTTCCTTGCTTGCCAAGAAGCCCAGGTGTCACGCCTTGAACATCTCCCCAGACCTTTTGTAACATCTAATGCGAGAAGCAGCCTTCCTCATTGCACATCTGCAGCATACCAGAGGCGAATGCTTTTTCGCATGCCAGCAGCAAGCTCAGGGAGACCGTTAAATACCGTGAAACACCTTATGCCGCCATCAAAAGCATCCATAACCGGAGCTTCATCAAGCTCAAGCACGTGAAAGCCGCTATCATCCATGCTTTGCAAGCTTTCTTCCTGCTCCCTGTATTGGGCGCAGCCTCCTGAAATCCATCAATAAGGCGCAGAAGTTCGTGCACTGCACTGTGCTCAAGGTGCCACACGTGCGCCCAGAAATGGTGCTTGCATACATCATTAAACCACAACCTGAACAATGGGGAAAAGCTGGAACAAATCACGAAAGAAGAGCTCACGTGCGCCTCTTGCTGGATCCGCACCGAACATTCATTCAAACGGCGCCTTCTTCTTACGTATGCTTCATGGAGTGCTGTCGGCTCGCAGGGCCACTATCGCTTCTTGTCTTCTTGGTGATGTTCTAGCTTACATCTCGACACTCCTCTGCAAGCCTTGCTGCTGCTCTTTGCAGTGTCACGCAGGCTGCTCAGCTTTTGTAGTCATGCTGTGGCCCTAACTGGAGCACCTCTTATCTCTGCAGCTCAGTTACATCTACTACAGGCCCTCCTGCACGACGAAATCGTCTCCCTTCATGCCAGTTTCAAGATGCAGCGTCCAGAATCTTGCAGCATCCAAGCAGCGCTGGCTTGATCCAGGAAACATCACCTTCTCGACAGTATTCCTGGCTATCCCAAAAGAAGTGCAGCTCCAGTTCCAAGTCTCTGCGCGTAGCTGGCATCTCCTTGGTCTTGAAGCGGAGCTCAGTCAGAACCTAAGGTGCGGAAACTCAAGCCACTCGGTACCAATGCGCGAGGGGTGAAAGGACTTGGCCCTCAAGCCTTACAAGCGAGTCCTCCACATGTTTTCGTTCGCCAGTCTCGGAGGCGTGCTGGGTAGGTGCTGATGGGCGCGGTGGCGGAGTTTGACTTTTGGAAGCTTTCATGAAGGGTCTTCGAATACAGAGTGAGGGTAGAATGAGAGACGCACTGCTTCTGAACGAAGCGTACTCAAACCGGAGAACGCAAATCCTAATCTGTTCAAGCCAAAACCTGGCAAACCAACATACACTCTAAACACAAGCTAGATTTTGGCCGCCTGCACGTCCGGCTGGCGCGTGTCGCAATCAGCCTGGAAATGGCAGGGGCAATATGTAGCACTGCGGGTATGGTGGACAGATAGTTGGCCGTAGAGGCCGGGGCTTCGGGGACTGAAGCAAATATATTCTACAACATGGTTTCTACCGATGCACTAGAGATTAGATCACGGGCTGTGATGAGGTCTTTGAGCCGTCCCTCCCTTAGGTCTTCTACATCTGCACAAAACTGCGAGTGATGCATGACTTCCAGTTCTAGTTTCATGATGCTTTACTGCTAGCGGGATTACACGATCAAGTCCAACCCACAAAACTGGACTGACTGCTCTGTAATAACTAGAGCAGTTCCAAAACTGCAAAATTTGGCCGAACACTCGTTTCGAGCAATCCGATCCAGGTCCTGTACAGCACATCATCTCTCCTTCGGAGGCAGTGACTATGCGAGATGATGATTTACACATCTTCCGCTGCCTCCAACCCCACCTCCTTCTCTGACTGCGTTTGGTTTGGTCGGCATGCACGTCGCACATGTCGCACATCATCGCTTGCAAGGAGGCTTAGGGCAACTGATGCTGCCTCAAGCTCCCAAAGATCGTTGCGTCTGCCGACGTCCCCGGCCCTTTTGGGGAACTCAATTGTTGGTTGGACATGGGTTGGCCGTCCGAATCCAGAGCATTGATGCGGGCTGCATCAAACATTTCAAGCTTTAGGCTTCGTGTCGGAGCTGAGGGCAATGTTCCCCTCAGGGCCTCTGCTCACCACTTACTTTTGATCTTTGCCCGCTTTTTGGCCATGGAGGCCTCTGAATATTACGGTTACTCTTGACGGATCGCTGAGGTTTAGGGTCCCACACTTGGGGTCCGTGCTTCCCCCCAAGCGGCCTGTCAAATCTGTTCCCGCGCCTGTGGCCGCGTGCCCAAGCAGAGCTTCCTCTGCGGCCAGCATGGCCTCCTCCCGGCTGGCAAAGCCAAATTTCTTACCTTGGGATGCAAAACGGCAAAAACAAGCAAAACTTACTGGCTTCTAGCTGCTTCCTCTAACTCTTTGTGCCTGCTGCACAGTTTGAGGCCCCAGCACGTCTCAGAAACGAAACCCCAGGGCCTCTGGCGGGACCCTCTCTGTGCCCGAGTGATGGTGACCTGAAGTTCAAGACAAGTGCTCATAGTGCTGTCACGGGGCTGGACACTTCCAGACAAGCCGGGAACCCAAATTCTGCCACTAGATATACCTTCCTGCCAAAAATGTCCTGCTGCAAACTGTACACACCTTTGGGATCGTAATTTTGGGTTCCTTGGGCTTTGTTCTGAATGCCCATGGCTTCATGTCTGTCGCATCCCGGTCTTCGGGTCCTCTGTGTTGTACCAAGTGGCCATGGCACCATCCACCGCCAACAACCTGGGGGCCTGAACAAACCCGATGACGGAAGGGTGGCGTTCAGCTGGCTGACGTGTTTCCTGCAACATCGTACAAGGGGTGGCTGGGCGCTAGCTTTACAAGGGGAGCTGGGTCCACTCCAGGTGCCAAACTGCATGGACTCTCAAGGACCGCGCAGTCTCACAAGTGATCAATAGAAGATCACGGCTTCAAACTCTGGCACGCGAAGTCGTGTGGGCGTCCGCATACCGAACTTACAGGCCGCCTACGGCCTAGGACGCTTGCGCTTGGCGTTTCGTGTCTGTTAAGCCGGGAGACCAGACCATCGCTGGTGGTCAGATCGCGTGACATCGAATCTTCCCTGGAACGAACAGGCCTCAGAGACGGACATGGCTAGAGATCAACCAGCAACCCATGAAAACCTTGTAGAGACAAAATGTGGCTATGTGCAGGGTGCAGATTTGCACCATCGAGCAACGGCGACGGAGATGGTGATGGCAGAGACGGCGCTGGCGATGGCAACGGCGACGGCGATGGTGCCGGTGAGTCGCCAGCCGCCTGGCACAGACATGGTCAGTTGGATTGAAGCAAAGCGCGCTGAACTCGGCAACCCTGAGCAGAATGGCTTCTGGCCTGCGAGTACCGCCACACAGATGCAAAGCGAGGCGCGCAGGAGACCCACTTGATCCCTGGGCGTGCTAAGCACATGCCAACCTACCCTGCCAGCAAGAGAATTTTGGATGAGCCACAGCAGCCATTTCAAACACTCCAGTAAACAGGACGCAACATGACCAACTGCTCAAATTGCGTGCTACCTGCTCCCTACCAAAATGCTTTCCAGCCCAGCCACGGGCTGCTGGAGCCACGGCTTTCTCTTCTTGCTCCGCCTTTGCAGTCAAGACATGTCTCCCACATTTGCCTGGGCCATTTGTTGTAGCGACGCGGGCGGTGAAACCAATTACGAAAATATGATCATGATCGATCGCGAGGACATGCAGACAAGCAAGGGACTGCCTGGTCTCAAGTGATCTTGTGAAGCACTTGGAAGCTGCAAAAGAATGTCTCGCTGAGGCAAGCAAAAGCAGAAAGCTTGTGACACACTCTGCAAAACCTGTGTACCCGGTCCTCGGGAAGGCCCTCGGCTGGCATGTCATCTGTCTGCTGCATACTGCTGAGGGGAGTCCTGGGCCACGCAACAAGCATTGATCATTGATTGATACATTGAGGCCTCGTGATATGCTGGGTCCTTGCAAGACCCAATTTTTGCCAGGTTACGCCAAAGAATTGGACTCCGGGACAGCTGCCTCAGCCTGCTGTGGACCGTTAGCTGCAGTTCGCAGTCCGGGCTTGCCTGGCTTCGCGTGGAAGGGCTTGCAAACTTCAGGCCACGTTTTGCAGGCTTGGGCACCTGGGCCCAGCGGGGCGCGGCCGAAGGCCACAGAAGGTGTTGCCGCCTGAAAACAGCATCATTGGGCCTACTTCTTTGCCTACCAACACCTGCCTTGCCAGCATGCGACAGGACTTGTTGAGCTTGCGCTGACGCGGCCTTTGCTGATGCCAGTCTCCAGACTTCTGTGTCCGAAACAGCTCTCGGACAGCATATTATATAAGATGACTGCTGCCCTTCTCCCTGTAGCCTTGCAATTCAAGTCCAAGTGTGGCGGAAATCTCGCGAGCATCCATGCCGGGCCCGCCGTCTACAAGGTAAGGTCAAGGTGTAAAGGCGAGATTGGCTTGCATCCAAGAAACATCTGCATGCAGCCAGCTTAGGACCTTGTCACATTGCTTCCTTCAAATGTTACAGCTACAAAGCCAACATCAGACACTGTTTGGTATTGACGCTCGCTTCATTCCTGCCCGGCCACATTGCCCCAGCCGGGTGCACTTGCAGACTGGACAGGGCTCCCATGGCTGCTTCCGCCTGTCCAGACTGTGAAGGTATTGGCTACCCGGCTACCTCTCGAGGGGCCAGCTACGCTCAACTAGGCCTTCCGCAGGGATGCGGGCAGCAGACGACGTTGCCGGCGCTTCAGGAAAGGCAGCGAGAAAGTTTGGCCCAAGCAGGGCCGGTTCTTCTGCTTCCTCGCCTCATGTCGTACGTGATTGGATGACAAAATGCTGAAGTCCTCTCAATTGGTATCCAAGCAGCCATTGTCCTCAAAGGTCGCACTCTTTTCGTCCTGTGCAGTAGAAACTCCCAGGCTTGAGGAGAAACAGGCGAAGATGAAATATCAATGTAAGAAAAGCAGAAACATGTCAGCGCTTTTCGCCGCTGCCTTCTCACCCTCCTCTTCGCCTCCTGTAGCCCACAACGCACAAAGCCACGGATGCTCGATGACATCGTCAAGACCTTGGCAAACGGCTGAAGCACCGGCCACACCAGAATCTAGACTTTTCCCTCATCTTTACCATCACAAAGCTGCCAAAGGTGAAGGGTTACCATTGTCAGTCAGTAAGTATGTCATCGCTCTACATAAGTGCATCTTGGACCATCTTGTCATCATACCTTCCTCAAGCCAGTGCTTATTACCAGTTAGCCCTGCAAGGTTGCCGCTTGCTAGTGTACTCCATCCTTGTTGGGCCAGCTGCTGAGACGATGCTCTGGCTCATGCTTGAGCAGGCCAAGCAAAAGCTCTTTGGCCTTCCGAGCGGAAAGCGCTTGCAACCCCAAACTGATGACTCATGACCCGTCTCCACGTGTGAAGGTGTGAGAAGATGATGGCCACTCATGAAAAAGAATCCTGCGATGGAATTTGGAGCACCCATCACCCCTCTTGACAGAAACCTGAAAAAAAAAACAATGCGGGCACTCCAAGACGGTCGGAGCGAGCCTCCGAGCTCACCCGCTGCCAGGCCTAGGTAAAATGTTGCGAAGAACTCCGCGCAAAGGATCTCGCTAGCTAGTCCGAGGTGTGAACCGCGCCCCGCAGCGTCAGCTCGGTGACTTCTTCTCCTCAGCAGCACTGTCTTCGTTGCGTACTGTGATGAAGCTCATCCTGTCTTGGTCCAGCCTTCTTGTGGATGAGTACCAGCCAGCATGGCATACCTGATTGAGTTATTCCACACGTCACAAGATCCAGCCGGAAGCTGGTCTCACCGAGAACAGCTTACGGACCTTCAAGCAAACCAGGCTGGGAATGCAAAGCGTCAACTGCAGGCCAGTTGCAGCGTGACCCCCAAGGCAAAAACATCGACCTCAGCTCATTTGCAGGTCTGATTCCTCCAAACGACTACCATACAAAGCCACAGGTCGTCATGGTTCATCTCCCCCAAGCATGCAAGGAACATCAGATCAAAATCCAAATTTCTGAAAAAGTAGCGTTGTTCCCTGCCTACTAGGGATCTCCAGCAATCCCCGTATTACTCTTAGGGTCCCCTAGAATACCCCTATGTTTAGCAACTCTGCAACCAATATAAACCCCAAAGCGCTATAATCCTCACAACTATGGGGCTCCCAAAACCCACAAACGAACCTTGGCAGCATCGTAGTTTTCTTGGCCCGGGGTCGCGTGTCGAGTCTCCGGTGCCCTGGCAGGCTTCGGATATGGGGGTTTCTGAAGATAGGGACATCCCTGAGAACACTGCCTGGGGATGTAAAGGTACAAAAGGACTAGTCTGGAAGTCTCTATGAGGTTTCAGAAGGGATTTGTTCTGCATTATTGGATATTATTGGATTCAGTGACCGTCCGTTGCTGGGCAACCAGGGCGCACCTGTAGTACTTGGTTCCGAGAAATGGTGTGGACGTTCCCGATGCACAGCCGCTGATGTCCTGCGGCACATCGCTGCAAGCTGCGGTTAGATAAGTTTCAGCTTCGGGCACGGGCCAGCCTTGCTGAGACCAAAGTCCACAAGTTTCACCACATCCGGCTGTCCAGGCCGCAAAGGGCTTGCCAATAAGATGTTGTGGGGCTTGAAATCCTGCCAAGATCTGCCAAGCATGACTAATACAAATGGTTTATATATGGGCTTGTATGAGCTATAGTCTAAACTCCTAGTATCCCCCTTAATAACCCCTATAACAGTCCCCTGTATAATCCCAAATATAGGCCGCCTCCACGACATAGTTTAGACTGTAGCTTATACCAACAAACCGCAAGCAAGATGATTCATTGCCCATCAGTCCCGGTGCACCACCTCCAAAGCATGGCTGTGGCGCAGCGCCTCCGTCAGGTCCAAAGCTTCCATGCGAGTATCTACATTACCCCTATTAACTGTATTACCTCTATAAACCTTGTTTCCACCTCATTTTCCATTCTCTTTTCCATATAAACCCTGGTTCCATGTCATTTTCCATGTTCTTGTCCTTTTGATTCTCCATTTTGGCAGGTATATCCCAGAAACCAATAAACATAGTTATGGCGAAGTCTGGCTGTCAGCTCGTGCCTCGGCCATCTGAGCGAAGAGGCCGCGTGCTTCAAGCTCTGTAAAGCGGCCACGGCCTTTCAGTCCTTTGCGTCAGGCAAGGGTAAAGCACGTTTCCCAGATCCTGAAACTCATCACTAAGGGGTCTTTGGACCTGTTTGACACAGGCAGTCAAGGTCTCTCCTGGCACCCCTGCTATCTCTGAGGCCCGCTCTTCTGCCCAAGTCTGTGCCATTGACATACTCCATCACGATGTAGAATTTTCTGCGGTACGCGAAAGCATCATGGACCTTAGCCCATGAGGTGCCAAAAGTGAGCTCAAACAGAAGCCTCCAACCATGCCTTCACGACCCCAGGATGTCCCCGCAGCTTCATCAAGTTGCGCACCTGCGATGCGCATGGAATCTGCTTGACGTGTCCAACCATCAATGACAAGCCCACACCGAAGCTACTTTGCCGACACGCTGATTCTCGATCCCTTTTACTGAGTCCTGTTGCACTTGAACTTGTGATTGCATAGGATCCCAGAAGCTGGGAGGCTCCCCAAGGACTTCATGCTTTGTCAGGTCGAGAACTTGGCATGGTCATCGGAAGTTCATTTGAAATGGGTTGTGCCGAATGGTTCCAGACCAGACGGCCTGCTGTAGGAATGAAGAGTGCACACGACAAGGCATTGGGATTGTGGCACACCATGGGGGAGTCAAGCAAAATCGTGGGTCAGGACACCTCACATCTTGACTTGGGAGAGGCGGCCAAGAATTGATGGGATAAAGACCAGGAAGCAACAGACAGGAGCTCCTCGCCAGAAATGGTAGCTTGGCCTGGCCTCAAGCCAGCAGCAACTTCCTAAGGTCTTGTGAGTATGCCCTAAAACACCTTTTGGGAAGGCGCTCGCAGCCATGCCCCCGCGCGTGGGATGGGTGTCAATTTCAGCTTGCATGCGAACAGTGCAAAGCACCCTGTGCCCCTTCGCCGCTAAATCCGAACAGCGCACAAGCACTGGAGCAGTGTATCGGTGTCTCAGTGTATTATCGTACACGGATGTTACCGCCGCATATCGTGCCCGAATGCCGAAGCAATTACGCACCAATGCCATTCCGCATTCATGGCACAGCAAAGAGTGTGGATTTGCTGACACCATCTGCGGTGGAACTGGGATTTCGGAAGCAGCTTCAAGCAAAACTGCAGTAAAATTCAGACTTGAGGTGCCCAACTGCCGCAACATGTATTTGCGCTCTCATTGCAACTATGATGCAATGCTTCCGTGCCTCAAACTCCAGTCGGGCAACCCATCGCACAAGTCGCTCCTGGTCCGCCCCTACTCTGGACGACCTGGCAGGTAAGGCAAAGGCAAAGTCAAGCGCATGGGTCTGAAGCGACTCTCTCTAGTCACTAGGGCCAGCGCAGTATCTGCAAGTCCACCTCCTTTACTGCGAAAGATTCGGTGGCGTGGCCTTCCGAATCCAGCTTCTCGTACCTTGCCAGGATACTGCCAATCACTCCGTGCCAGCTAGCTGCACTTGCTAGCGGCCTGTAAACATCTGCGAAGCCGCCGCTTCCAAGCAGTTCCCTTTGGCGGAAGCGCGCAGCATCCAACACCTGGTAGGGGCATGATAGTCCTGCAAGCAGCTCCTAAGCAATGCTGTCTATGAACAAACCGACACAGCATCAGGAGGCAGAGAGCTCGCCACTTGTGACGCCGGGACACGAAGAGGCCCGGCTCCTCAACATGGGCCTGCCCCTTGCCAGCCGCCTCCTGCATTACTAACACATACTGACAAGAGATGCTGAAAGCTTTAGAAGCCACCTCGCCGGTACAGCTTGCACCCCGTCAAATCATGTCACATTATATGTCTTTACATTAGTCAGCCTTGCCGGAACGTGCCAAAAGATCCAGGCAGAGCTCCTTGCTGTGTTCTTGCGGCTGATCTTCCGCTCCGCTGTCACTGCTGCTTTCACTGCTGCTACACTCTGCCGTCAGCTCCTGGGAACACACCTGAGTCTGCACAAGAGAATCATCTTGGAGCACAAGGCTAGGCACAAATTGGCCGAGATGCCTCACAGGGTCTGTCCAAGATGACCTGGCAGCTTGGTCTGAGTCTGAAGAACAAGTCTTGATCTAAGAGGCTTCCGAATTAATGCCCGCAGAATGTTCTTGTTGAATTTGCCCTGCTGCCAAGCTGCAACATCATCATTGTTGGCATTGAGATAGCCTAATTGTCTGTGAACAAAGGCACGTAAAGAGGCGTTCAGGAGAGCAGCAATCTGTGCTGTAGGAGTCCGACCCAAGCCGAACACGTGGATAATTGATCTCATGCCTCTTGCATGGAGCAGCCAAGAAAGACGTCGCAAAGCCGGCGCACAAATTGTTTTGTGGGTGGGTCGGGACCCAATGCCACATCTAACGCAAGAAGAAATTCCAATCATCCATTAAAGGACTTTCCCGATGCATCTCCCCCATCTCCAAAGCGTTTCGGCTTGCCTTGCTGCAAATCCTCCTTCGAAGGCTCGGTGCGAACAACGAGATACCGCCGCCCCAGCAACTCCACCTTGGTCAGACGTGCCAAGGATATCGAAGGAGACTTGCCGCAGCCTATACGGCTAATCTTGTCAACCCCTTAAACCTTATTCACGCAAACACATCTGAAGCTGTCCGACTTGTTTTGCACCTGTCCCAAGCACATGCGTCAGCCCACGAGTGCACTGTTGCAACTCCTGTCGCTGCTGGAAGGGTAACCACCAGATCTAGCACCAGCGTTGGTGAGCAGCCCCACTATTGCAAAATTGCCATACTGGCGTGCAACATGCAAGGGTGTTGCCCAGCAGGAACTGGGTCTGTTGATGTCGGCCCGTGCTTGAATCAGGAGCAAGGCACAGTTCGAACTACCACCACAAGCAGTCTCATAGAGTGGTGTCCAGCCGTCGGTGTCAGCTTTATCAACATCTGCACGAAGCTCAAGCAGCATCCGAACAGTTGCCTCATGGCCGATATTTGCTGCTCGGAACAGTGCCGTCCTGCCATTCGCATCGGCCAAGTCTTTGTCAGCCCCCTTCTCCAGCAATTGCTCTGCAACTTGCAGATGGCCATTTCTACATGCCAAGTGTAGCGGTGTCTCGGCTCTGCAGTTCCGAATGTTGGGGATTGCTCGGGCCTCAAGCAGGAGCCTCACAAAGTTAAGCTGCCCAGCCTGAGACGTAAAATGCAGAGGCATGCTGCCTTCTGCATCCAGTTTCCAGTTCACGCTTGCTTTGCTTTCTATGAGTAGTTGCACCATTTCCAAATTTTCTGGCACTTGCATCTGAAGAGCAGCGCAAAGAGCTGTCCGGCAAAGGCTATCAACAGCATCGGGGTCAGCTCCCGCGTTGAGCAGCCAACGCGCAACTTGCAAATCGGCCTGTTCAGTCGCAACCAGCAATGGTGGTCTCTGATGAGAACCCCTTCGCGAGCTGTAGCTGGCTCTGGCTTCTATGAGGCTCCACGCAATGTCCAAGCGGTAGTTGCAGAAGGCCTTGTGGAGTGCAGTAATTCCTGTTGCAGTGGCCTTTTCTATGTCTGCTGCGGCCAAAATCAACATCTGGACTATCTCAAGCTTGCCCCAGTCCGCCGCCCAAATCAGCGGCGTGTTGGCTGTGGAGTCAGGTGCGTTGACGCAGGCACGAGCTCCAAGCAGCAGCTTCAAGATCTCCGTGTGGCCACGCTGACTCACCCAGTGCAAGGGTACCCTCCCGTCTGAATCTGGCTTGTCCACGTCAAGCCCTGCCTGTAGCAAACTTCTTGCAATTTCCAGATTCCCTGACTCAAAAGCCTCTCGAAGAGCTGCAGCGTCATTAATCCCCGCCCGTGCACCAATCAGCAGGCAAGCAACGTCAAAGTGCCTAGTTGAAAGTGCTACTCGTAGCGGAGTAAGCTTCTGATCGTCAATCTTGTCAAGCCGAGAGCACGCCTCGACCAATAGACGCACACAAGCCAAGCTTCCTCTTGCAGCTGCACTATGTAAAGCCGTGCGCCCCCGAGAGCCAGCAGTATCCTTAGTCTCACTTAATCCCAGGCACCGTCATGAAGGGGATTTAGGAAATGGTTCAAAGGTGTCAGTGCTCCGAGTGGCTTAGGCATGTCCTTAACTACATACACAACATTAGGCCATTCGGTCCATTCGACAATAGCAAGCAGCGGGGTCATGGCCTTGGCAAAGGAAGCTCTCAAGTCGATCCGCGTCATTGTCAGCAGCAGCATTCTGAATGCGACGCAGCTCTGAACTGCTGGTCACGCACGACTTGAGCACCAGCTGCAGATCCATCGGTAGTTGCAAGTCATCGGTGTCACCCAACACACGGCCATCACAAACAAGCGTCTGCCTGAAGGTGCCAACTCCAAGTTCTCGGCCCATCCGCTGCTTCAATGCTCTTACAACGCTACCCTCCACAGCCGTCAAGGCTTCAAACTCACTGGCTCCCAGCTCAAGGACCGGTTGTCCAGAAACCCGGCGAACGCACAGCATGGCAAAGGGAAACTCCAAGAAATGGCCCGAAAGGATTTCACAATGGCTAGGAGCGCAGGCATGCACGGCTAGAATCATGCAAGGGTATCATCAAGCCTCCTCTGGCTGAGGCCTGCGCATTCCGAATCAATTGCCCCGTGTGGTCTCGGCCATCCAGACGGCTGTGGAAGTGAAGCGGCGTCTCCTCGACACACTTTGTGGAGCTTCGCTATTTTGATCGCCTCTAGTAACTCTAGTAGTCTAGAACGCTTGCGAGAGATGGATTTAGGCCACGCTACTGCAAGCTAAGTTCCACACCCCCAAGGCATTTTCGCTTGACCTGTCCTGGAGCTCGGGGCAATTTCCAGGCTCTGGCGATGCAATCTCCAGCGCCTGGCTCATGCAAACTGCAGTACTGTTCACCTGACCTCTGCTTTTCAAAAGATGCCACAGCCTTGTACTGGAATCCATCAAGCCCAACATGCCCAACCCCCTTGTCAAGTGCTTGAACAGGTGATGACCCTCCACCCCTCGAGACCTAACATCAGCCGCTTAGTCCCAAATCTGCGTAGATGAGCTAAAGAGTATAAGCAGCTGCCCGGCGCGCCTCACTCGCACAATCACCGTCACATTCAGAGTCCAGCCTTAGAGCTGAAAAAAAGTGCGATCCAACCATTCTGCACTGACGAGGGAAATTTCTCCTCTCCATCCACTGCTCCTGTGCCGGCTTTGGTCAGCTCTGACCCGCATGCGGCCCAGGGGCGTCCGCCCGTCAGCAGAAACAATACAGAACTCGTTGGCTTCCTCAGCTCTTGCTGCTGCACTCAGAGTTGCACTAGCCTGAAACTGCTGACAAGATGATACGGATACTATCTCCATTAAGCTCACTCACTAGCTCTGTTTGGGTCTCACTGCTGCCATGGCGTCTGTGGCTTCGGGTGAGCCAGCACAGGAGTCCAATGGATCCGTCCATCGAGGTCCCTGGAGAAGCTCTGCTCTCACGACGAAGCAAGGCATGGCGAACCCAAACACGCACACGACCATACGCAGGATATCAGATGCACGGCGCGCCTCGCCAGACTTGGGTGTGACCTTAGCAGGTGCATGATGGCTGGCCAGAGTCCGCGAAAAAAAGGTCGAGAGTTTGAAAGGGGCCCTGACATCAGGAGAAGCTAGCCGAATTTCTCCAGCACGAGGAGTGGCCAGATCCGACAGCGACGCAGGGACTCCAACAGAGCTTTGCTCCTGCTTCTCTCAGTTCAACCCGCTTGCAGACGTAGGCTTTGTCAGCTTTATGAAGCCGCAGGCTTGGGTTGAAACAGTATATTTGCCACAGAAAGTAAGATTGCCTTGAGGCTTGCGAATCATCTGAGACCCAAGGCCCTAAGCAGCAAGGCACGGACACTGCTGGATGATTTGGCTGCTAGGCTGGCTTCCTGGTCCGTCATGTCCGCATCCGAGGCCAAATGCAAGTCTGCAGCGCTCACGCGCTCCGAGTCCACCGAGCCTGGGTGTTCTTGGTGTACTTATGGCCTATGGCACCTCCCAGTGACAGAACCCTAGCAAGACAAGATCCAGATGCAGGACAAGGTGTTGTGGCTGGACCGGCCAGGCCATAAAATGAAACCCTTTCAGATTTACGCCGTGGGACAAGAGCGGGCGAAAGCTTCATCAGCCTGCGTCTGCGGCGAAAGGGGGGGCTGCTCGATCGCCATCTGTACTGCTCAGATTGTGCAGGACGTCAGGCCCAGGCGCTCTCTTTGGCATTCAGCTCTTATCACATCGCTACTACATGCAACTGCGTAGGCGTATGCTGTGCAAGCGACCATCTAATCTGAGCCATAACATTGGCGAGAGCAGACGCCACCACGTGCTCAAGCTGCTGAGACATACCAGCCCCACAGAAAAAGGTGGCAGCACTAGCACGTCAATCGAACTTATTATGTCGGCCCCAGAAACAGAAACGCATCTTGAATGAAGCACGACAGGCCTTTGCAGCTATAAATCAGGAAATGAAGTATGCCCGTGTCTCTCGCAACCCGGGGCAGTGGCACGATCTGAGCCTCCCCTCGAACTCCGGGCGGATGCCATGCGTCAAAAACCTGCAAGCGCAGACCATGCTCCGCTAGCATTCTCGAGGCAAAAAAGACGAAGGCGAAAATACACAAATTCAAGCCATGGATCAGGCAGCACTATCCGCATGAAGTCATGGCATGCAGGAGCAGCTAGAATGAATATCTAGCAGGTACATGGGTTCGCTTGCTTGACTTAGCAAAGGCAGCGTGGAAACCGGCAGGTTGAAACCGGAGCTTGCCATCCTCTTGCTTCACACGACTCATAGCAGCAAGGCAAGGTATCAAAGACTACATGCAGAGGCAAGATGATTCATTACGCCTCTTTGCCCCCTGCTTCAACACCTGGTACGAGTATTTCATCCTTAAACGAGCAGAGACCTGTACGTTGTTGCTCTGGGGTGAAACACTGGCTTGGCCACTGTAAGCTATTAAAACTGCAGGTGTGCGAGAGAAACCTGTACTTTCAGCTCACGCTCCACCACATGACATCCTGACCCGCTGGCTTTGTTGGGCCCACAGGTTTGTGAAAATGGCCGGCTACCACCGCAGCCCTTGGCGAAAACCATTGATCTCAAGTTCAGGAGCCGCTCAGGCCATGGCATCCAAGTCCTTCGTCCACTTCTGCATCTCCTCCTCAGGCCTGCTCTGACTTGTCTCAAGCAACCCTTCCCTCAGAAGCTAATGCCAGCTGTGCGAGACTGCTAGACGAGGGGCGTGTCAATCATCGCTTGGTTGACACAGAAGAAATCCACCTTCCCTTTTGTTGCATCGCCTTAAGCAAGCCTAGCCGTATGTTTCTTGACTTCTTTCCTGCTGGCACGCGCATTCAGCCAAGTCGCGGATGGACTCGAAACCAGAAATCACCCCTGGGCAGTGCAAATGCACGGTAGTCGTACCGTGATCATCCATGATCTATGGCAGTTGCGCGAATTGCCAGCTAGCATTTGAGGAAACGCTACAACTGTAATCCCAGTATCCTTTCATTTTCCACTATCTTTTCCATTTGATTCTCCATTATCAGCGGGTAATGGCCCAGTATAAACAGTGCGTACAAACCCAAACACCTTTCCTTCACCACCAGGCCAGGGCTCCAGTCTGCCGCAGCATGCCGTCGAGCACTACGTCGGCTGATTGGCGCTGCTTGGCCTTGGGGTTAAAAGTTTTGACTAGTATCCACCTTATGGTAGCTATTGCTGGGCGAGGAGGGTGTTCGAGCTTTGGCCCAGGAATGCAGGCAAACCAGCCAAATCACTTCCCCCTTGGTGCAGTTGCTTGCAACGCAGCAGCACACTCTTCTACCACACGATCCCGCACGTCATCCGGCATGTCTAGACGAATTTTGGACCTAAGCGCTGACATGCGCATCTCTCCTCATGTGACTGCTCTGCGGCTTCACTTGGGGCTGTGCGTGCGCTCGACGGTCTCAAGCCATCGGGCCACTGAAGCTCGCGCCACAGATGGAGAGCACAGCAGGTCTTTCAAGCTACCTTGGCTAAATTTGCACCTCCGACCTACTTTCAGTTGTCAATTTGCTGTGGCAGTAGGCTAAGGATATGAAGAATGCAGACTCTGAGCACTTCCAACCGTCGCCAAGGCTCCTTCTGGATCATCCACCATGGCTTTTGTTAGCGTCAGCTCTGTGCAGCTGGTTGAAGGCAGCTCAAATTTGAAGCCTCGGAGAACCTCCGGCACGATTGCGGCGACATGTCAACGGCTCAATGCAAAGCTGCTTGGTTTAGAACATAGTCCTTTCATGCCGTTTCCATAAATAGGGGACCCCAATATTGACCGCGAAGCAATACTTACAATCCTCATTGCGGGACCCCCAAAATGGCAGGCTCAATGTTGGGAAACCCCCACATCTACATTAAACGGAGCTGAGCCTTCTCGAGAATGGTGACAAGAGCTCGCGCTCCAGTCTTTTCCTCCACCGCGAGCTCCGCCACACGCCGAAGTGCAGCCTCCTCAGCCTTTTCAAGCAAGTAAGGCAGGAAAAGCAAATTTGTCAAACTCTTGGAGCATGAGCTCGAATCATGCACGCAGACGAGTTAACAAAGAAGACGAGCAAAGCTCAAGATTTCCTGAGCCTGAAGCTAGATAAGCTGACCTGTCAGATGATTTCGACTACTGCTTCCCTTCTGCACATCCACTGCTACTCAAGCATGCACCACTAGCATCGCGCTTCCCATGACAATTACAGCAATCTGATGTCGTGTGAGCTCGCACCTTCAATTCAATGCCGTAGCCCTGGAAGTCATTCCTCAGATGATCAGTCATTCCACTGCATGCTGTAAACTTGTGCATACATGCCAGCGGGAGTCTGAAACTGAAAGAGTACGGAATCCTCGGCCTCCGTCAGAATTCTGTACAAGTCGTTGCTGGTCAAGGCACGGATAGCCTTGGAAAGAAAAGCTGCGGTTGCAGGATTGCAGATGAGGGTTGACCCACATACTCTCTATACTCAAGAGGGATTGCCGACGTAACAGTGGGCACCCATGCCCTTGGTGTAGTTCGGCAACCCAACTGTACGTGACAGAGAGCAGCTTGGCAAAGCACACGACATGTCCAATGGGGTCATGAAAGCGAAGGAAAACTCTTTGCTAACAGCTTTCGTCTAGTGAGGAAGGCAAACACAACTCCAAGACGGTTTCCTTGTTACGTCATCGGCGTCACATCGCCCCACGGTGGGAACAGCAACTTTGAGAAAATCAACTGTCTCTGCAAGCGCCTGCACTGCTCTATCTGTTTTGTAACTACATCAAACAAGAGGAGGAGGAGCCACGCGAACAGGGATGCGCCCGACGAATTCTGGTTCCAGGCCGGCTTCGACAAAGTCCTTCGTCTCGGCCAAGTGCAGGTAGCCTTTGCTTGTTCGCTAAACTAACATCTTTGCTGCACCGGGCGTTGAGAGGTATTCAAAGGTGCGATATGGTGCGATTGCTGAGGAATGAGTTCGCTGCTCGAGCGCAACTGCTTAATCAAACTATGGCAAAAACCGTCTGTGCTCCCGCCGAGTCGCTCTGTGCCTCTTCGTCATCCTTTGACGGACCAAGGCTGATGGCCTTGGACGCGTCGTGGTCATGCTCCTTGTGGTCATCTTCAACGAAGAAGCCCATAGACTTGGCACCTGAACAAAGCTTGCCAAGGGCCGGTGCGGTAGAGGCTTTCGGTTCGCAGCTCTGTTTGCTGTTCCTGTCTGCTACGCCCTTCTCAGCAGGCCTGGGCGGATCTCCCTATTTTCAACTGTCAAGCGAAAGCTACATCCCATCATCTGGGCAACACGACCCACGCGGTTCTTGATCATCTCGTTCATGCCATTGAAAGCACCGCTAAAGATGAACAATACCTGGCTCCGCAAAGAATCTAATTCACAAAACCTGTCGGCAGCCAAACTATCGGGCTTTGGATGCGTCAAGCGTCAAATTTGGTAGAGATCGTCTGGTCGCCTTGGCCACCGCCGAACCTGCATGGAAGACCAGCACGAAGTTCTGGCAGGAATCACAGAGAAAAAACTGCCGTGGCACACATTCTCAATGTGCTGATGTCAGCTGTCACTTCGCCAAGATATAGATGCAGCTGCAATTCATGGTGGCCATGTAAGCAGACTGCAAACCAGGCAGCATGTTCGAAAGACTGGCTTGCATGGAATTCTTGGTTCCCACCTAGGCTCACTTGATTAACAAGCAAAATTCACCAAGTCAAGCTTCACTGCCACCCCTCATCCTCCTGCCACCACCTGCTGCTACTGCAACCGCTACCGCTACTGCTTCTGCTGTTAATGCTGCAGCAGCGGCTGCTGCTTCTACTGCCAGTCTGGTGCTATAACTACATCTACACCACTAATGCCAGCACAACCAGCACCAGCACCACAGAAGCAAAAGCACCAGCAGCATCCAGCAGCGGCAGCAGCAGGGCCGGCAACTACACCCACATAAGCACCAGCAGCGGCCGCAGCAGCAGCGGAGAAGCACCAGCAGCTGCAGCAGCGCAGGCACCAACACCCCCAACCCCCCGGGCACAAGCCTACGTGAGTCTGCATTAGCAAAGCAAACAGTAAGCGGCCTGCCTCACTGCCCCACTACTAAGAGCAAACCTTTGCTTTCAATCTCAACTGCTCTCCGAGCATCTTCCGTGTCTTCCATGATCTTCAGGAAGTTGCCTGATGGATTCGCGGCCATTAGCACGTACATGTAGCTGAAAGCCAGAGTGACCCCTTCAAATTTGCTATGGAATTGCCAAGGGGCTTTGAACTTGGGACCCGTTCCAGCCGCCTCTGGCAGTGCCGCCACTGCCTCCACAGATTTTGTCAACCTCGTCAATATACCTTGGGACATGAAGTCTGTTGTCAACTAGTTCAGGGCATTATTGAAAAAGAGGAATTCACAGGTTTGGACAGGGTGCACCATGCCATACTGAGCCACCTGATCACGTTGGGCGGAAGGACACAACACAAGCTGTCAAGATTGGCATGACTGCCGCCTCTGAGCTTCCTCCAGCTGCATCCACTAATTGCCGCACAACATCCTCCGCATCTTCACCGACGATGCCAGTTTCAGAAAACTTTGTGGCGTCTGCCTAACCACAACGAAGCACAGCGCTCTGGGGGCAGCCGGGTTGCAGGTGTAAGTTTTGTAGCTGAGGATCTTTTGCAAATGGTACTCCGAGCATCTTTGCCATGGTCCTCACCAGATAAGTCTTTCCGCTTCCTGTGGGGCCCGAGATGAGAATGTTCCTGGCCGAAAATGAGCAAAAGGGGCTGCAAACAGATCCCGGCTTAGCTTCAGGACTTGCAGAGCAAGAGGCGGCTTGGTGTAGTTCTTGGCCCGCAAAGTTGGGTCATCAAGACACCGCCTGACAGTCCAGGCAGGCCAAGCTTCTGTCGCAACTCTCTCATTTCCTCTTGCCGTGGGCGACTCCAGCGGCATCCCGCGACTGTGGCATGAAGCACTGCCAAGTTGTTGGAATTCGGGGATCCCGAATTGCCTATGTCCTGCTTCTTTGATTCCTCTTTGCGTGTCCCGTAGCTGCTGAGCAAGGAGGGGTTGAAGGATGCCGGTGCCTGCCTCGCGCATGCTGCATCTGTCACAAGCCATCTCGCAGCGTACGCCAACAAGTCGGTCAAACATCTGGAGCATATAAGCACTGCTGACATTTCAGATGTTCGACACTGTGCCCGAAACCGGAACATCACGTTCTCTTGACCCAGCATCTTTTGAAGCTACACCCCTCCATCATTGCGATAGGCTGCACGGTGCCAATTGTGGCGGCTGCGTGGTACTTCCCTGTCCTGTACCAGCAAAGCAGCCTCCACATCAACCAGAAACTTTGAAGGCACGCCGGGACATCAATTGCAGATGGTGCCGGTGGGTCTTCCCCTAAATACATACAGGTGAAGGACGCAACGGGAACTGGCCCGGGGGCATAATGTGAACTTTGTAATGGGAACCGGCCCGGGCAACGGGAACTGGGGACAGGGACAGGGGTAACGGAAACTGCCGGGGGCTGTAACGGAAACCCGGAAAGGAACCGAGAACCCGGATCTACAACGGTTGGAAGTATGGGCCCCTAATATGGGCCCCTAGCCCGTTTGAGGGGATCTAGCGTATATAGTGGTAAAAAAGAATGCCAGGGTTGAGGGCCCATTCTGGGGGCCCATGGTTTCAACCTTAATAGACCGGAAGGGAATCATCAACCCGATAATTATGAAATTAAGGTGACAGAAAGGCGGCCACCCCAATTTCATGAGTACCTCTGCAACTTTCACTTTCACTTTCCTCGCTGCAAAGTGCGTGTGGTTCTTTGCCAGCGAAACTTGGGACAGGTTTAGACCTGGCTAGAAGCTGCACTTCGGCATCCCATGCTATGATTGGCAGACTATCCCGGTCCGTAGACCCAAAGCAAATAGTCCGCAAGCATTAGCCCGTCTTGGCCAAGCTACAGGTACATTAGACTGATTGGTAAAAGAATAAGTAACCCTGACTACACATCTGCTGAAACTGTACATCATTCAATGGTTGAGCTACCAGGCCATCATCAGCTTTCAGGTATGTAGAACCATGTCGAAAAACAGCAGTGTAATGGCCAGCGAAGGGCGTGCTGCCGCTGTGGGCAACAAAAGAATTCAGCTCGTAGCGCTTTGCATGAAAGCCATCGGTGTCAAACACAGGTATCTCCAGGAAAACATTGGGAATTATTTTGCCATGATACTTCCTGATGTGTCCACCATCATTGCTGAAACGCCCGATCAAAATTGCAAGAATCAATGGCCGCTCAGTCAGCGCATGAATGTAGGCCTGATTCTCCCATGCATGGATCAGTTGTTGTAACATGACAGAATCTCCACGGTGGGTGGCATCTGCAAGGTAGGGATCAATAACAAGGACCTCTGAGTTGGTGACATCCCTTCGAAGAGCGTCATCGTCTGCCCCCCCATTGAGAAGTCTGGCCTCCCATGAGAGCTCTAGTGCGAATTTGAGGCCACCACTCTGTTGAACGAAATACCTGAGGAACTCACCCACATCGTGCTGAGAATGAGGCATCGCCCATCCTGTCATTGCTTCCTGCCATGAGCCATTCTGCCATAAATGATGAGGACTTCCCGTAAGTGCAGGCCTGATGCCATCGAAAAGCAACTGTCCCAGCATGGCCTGAAGTTCGGTGGTGTCTTCACATAGCCACAGCACACACTTCACCAGGGAATTGGCATAGCAGTGGTTGCTAGAGTTGCAAATCTGAGCTCCCAACACTAGTTGCCTGTACCCTGCGCCAATCTGTTGGCTAGAGCGCTCCTCTGTAGCCGCTCGTGTCGGCAATAGGCTCCCACTGCCAGCCACACCGATGTCTGAGCGATATTGTTGAAAATGCTCCACAAGCGGTTGGCTTCGGCAGTTCGAAGTCCTATTTCGAGCATCATTGTCAACGTAGGACTCGAATACTCCGACGCCAAGGGCCTCATTGCGTGGTAGCGATTGATGGCGAACGGCTCCGTGCACAGTTTGGTCGCCTCCAGAATGAGGTTCAGGGTTTGCGGAATCGGGATGGGGGGAATCTTGGTGTCCACCTCGTGCATCTTCTTCTCCGCATTCCACTTCACTCCTGTGAAATGGTCCCCTTGAATCCAGCCCAAGGTCTTGGCTTGCTCGACTTTCTGAGCATCTGACAGCATGGTTTCCAGGGCAGCGGTCATGGACGTCATCAGGCGCTGAAAAAGAATCACTCGCAAGGGGTGCTTCAGGCTTTCTGGATTCGAAGTTTTGGCCTGCTTCCAGCTCTGACCAATATTGAATGACGTCACCGCCAAGCTGGGCGTTACATCCGTCCTGATAAAAATGATGTAACTGGTGTCTTGCCGATTGATCATCAACTGGTGCTCCTGTCGGAGAACCAAGGTCGTAAGCATATCCACCTGCTGTTTGAGCTGGTCCAGGTCGCCCTTGTTCTTGTCCTGGTCTTTCCAGTTTGACCAGCTTTCCCACTTGGAGGAATTCTGCGATTGACCTTTGCCGCGGCCCTGCTGATTTCCTTTGCTGGCTGGTCTCGACCACTTGGCCTGCCTGTCCTTGTTTTTGTCGTCGGCGTCTTCCGGTCTGGTCCTCGTGGCAGACTTGTCCGAGGTGTCCATGGACTGGTCTGGGACCGGCGCCGGCGCCTCCGTCGACGTTGCCGGGACTGGCGGGGCTGCTTGCAAAGTTGGGGTCAGGGCCCGGATCATGTCCAGCTCGCTGGTCGCCTGCTCCAGCTCCTTCGCTGCCTCCAGCGCTGCTGCCATTCTGAAGTCCTGTGACAAGTGTGCGGCCCAGGCGTCTAATCAAGTAGTGCCCATTAAAGACGCCGATGCATGAACTGAGATGGGCACGCCTGTTCTTGAAGGTCTGGCCACAGAATCTACAGGGGCTTTTGAGAGCCAAATCGCTCTGGACAATCTTGGCTGTCACATCCTGCACTATTGCTGTCAGTTCCGGATGCTTGGACTTCATGTGGCGCTTAACATACATGGGAGAGGCGCACCAATGATGGCATTCTAAACAATGATTGTGATGTTGTTTAACCACTGGAAGCTCCGCCATCTCGCGCCATTTGAGAGAGGTGGCTGCTTGCAGCAGCTCGTCTCTAGACATCAGTGCATCCTGGAGCGTGGCCAGCTGATCTCGGCTATTCTCCTGAGAATAGAAGAATCTTGTTTCAGCGCAGCTCCTAGAATTGACATGGTACGCGAAAGCCGGCCAGGACTCGAATTGATGTCCACAATGCTTGCAGGTGGGCATGCCATCTCGGGCGTGTTCTGTGGCAGGATGCTGTTTGCGCTTATGAATTTCTGCCTGTCTGGTCTCCTTGTCTTTCTCTGCGAAATGGATCTTGTACTTGTGGCTTTTAAGCGCGGCTTGTGTAGCAAATGCGAAACCGCATTCATGGCAAACAAACTGTTCGGTGACTATATGTACTGGCACCACCCGAGCTTTAGTGGAAGATTGGCCAGCAGAGCCGATGCGAACATCCTGAGCACTCTGCCGCGCCACTTCTGAATTGTCAAATAGGCGGCCCCTCAGAACATGCAGCCACTGCGCATGCGACTCCCAAACCTGCAGGCACTCAAACTCCATGGGTGGCTTGGAGCACCGATGAGTAAAGGCCTTGTAGATGCGGCCGATGGGGTCTTCGATGTGTAGCCGGAGGAGCAGATCCTCATTGGCCTCATGTGTGAACATGCTATAGGATCTAACCATCTGTCGAAGTTGCTGAGTGACCAGACTTCTGATCTTGCCCGCAATGACATCCGTGATGCCTGCACAGTCAAGGCGGAATACAGCTTTGCCAGAGGCGCAGACGCAGATGCTGAGGAACGGCTTGACAGCACAAGATATTCTTGAGTCTGCTGAAAGCATTCCTGGCAAGCTGTAGACGATGCTGCGCTGTTTCCATCTCAAATTTGCGGAAAGAAATTTTGATTCCTAAATAGACATGGCTGGCAACGATTTTGAGATCCAGACATTGTGAGCCAAGTTGAATGCGTATGCATCTGCCTTTGCTCGTCTTGACCACATACCTGCGCAGAGCTTTCTTAGCACGCTTGCCCCTGATGTCCAAGAGGATGACTGTCTTGTCTGTACTAATGCTCAGGCCTCTTTGTTGGAGAACTTGAAGGACGTGCTTGATAGCGGCATAAGCCTTGTCAAACTCTGCGAGGCAAGTGATAGTCCAGCAAAAATGGAAATCGTCAGCGTAGGTCGTGTTGGTATTACCAACATCTATTATGGCTTTATCCATATGCCTAAGCACATACCCAGAGAACAATGCCCACAGCATTGGAGACAATCGGGAGCCTTGTAATACTCCTCGCTTCGTCTCGACCTCTGCGCTTCTGCCACAGTGGGTGACACGGAGACGTGCTTCATCATGTGTGAGCAGAATAGCCGTTATCATGTCCGAGTCTACTTGGGCCTCGGCCATGGCCTGCCGTAGATCTTCCCGGGGTAGACAATCGAAAGCCTTCGATATGTCTAAAGACAACTGAACGCCGCCGTACAAATTCTGCTGGACCCGTCCGCCTCGTTTGGTGTGTATGTTGCAGGCTTGGCTCTGTATCAACGTACGTACTGCCGAACAATGCGATGTTACCCTTGTCACTGCATCTTGCAAGGCGCGGCCTGAAACGTAGGCGAACTGTGGGATCGATGCCAGGTATATAGGTCTGCACCTGTGGTTGAACGCGTGTCGCAATGACTGAGGATAATATCTTCATCTCTGGCGGCAATAACGAAATTGGTCTGAGATCTGATGGCTTGCGCAAAGGCGCGCCTGGCTTAGGGAGTAGAACAAGCTCGCTCACGTTCCATGCAGAGGGTATATGCACCTCACCTGGTTGGAATACATGCTCAAACTGCTGCCGAAGTATATGAGCTGCAGACTTGGATGTCCACTTCCACAACACAGTCGGAGCGCTGCATGAAGGCATGACCTTGGCGGGAGACATTTTGGCTATGGCTGCAGTGATTTCCTCCACATCGAAGGTGATAGGCTTAGTCAAGAGCGATGGGGGGAGCCGCAGTCCATCATAGAGCTGTCGGAAGTAGTCCACCAGCTGACCGTGCTCTTGGTCATGTGACTGCATTTTCCCTTGTTCATCCCTGAGTTGTATCCTACGCTTCGGGGTCTTGGGGGCTAGGCATTTGGCCGTCTTGAAAATGTCTCCCGAGTCTAAGACCTGCTTGACCTTCTGAATTTTGCGATCCCTCCCAGCCTTCCTCACCTTCCGAGTGATGGCTTGGAGGGTGGCTGCCTTGCGCCATCCTGCGAAAACTTGTTGCAGTAAAGCAGTGGCTGGCGCTGTGGTGTCAAGGCCGGGCATGGAGCGGAGACCTTGTCGAAGCTGCCACATCTGATGGATGTGGTTGCTGAAGCTTTCCTGGCCGTCCGCTGTGGTCGGAAGTGGTCTTTGAGATTTGGGAGGCTGGACAAGTTGAATGCATTGCTGCCAACCTTCCAGTAGCTTCTGGTCCAGACTGTCCACTTGATGATCCAAGTCATGAAGGACCTTGTCCATGTGTGTAGTAAAAAGCTGCGACATCGGTTCGTGAGACAGCTGTTGTCGGACTTCATGAGGTTGCATTCTCTGAGGGCCGTGCTGCACATTGGGTCTCGTCGGCTTCCTCACGAAGCACTCCACAGGGAGGTGCCTGCAGCCCGTATGCGGGACGAACGGTGCTTCAATGGGTTTGGCTTGTTTGGCGACCCCATCTGCGAAAGTCAATTTGAGTGCCATGGCCAGGGCCTGAGTGTACCGCTGGTAGAAACGTTCGCGCCGAAGAACCAGCCTTTGACCACGTGTTCAGAAAGCTGCAAGCATGGGTGCGAACCAACTGCAAGAACTGGTCGTAGTCTGTCTGCACTATGGAGGCCCCCGGTTTGGCAATTCCCTCTCCAATCAAAGATGGCACTGATGGCACTGGCTGCACCGGTGTATTAAAGTCTCCCAATATAATACACCCATTCCTCCTGGGTATGCCTGCAATCCATGTGCCAAGTTCTTTCCAGACCTTACGTCTACGCTGCAGTAGCTGCTGTACCTTGCTGATACCGTTGATTTCCACTGGATCTGATTGAAGAGGCTTTTTTTGAACATTCCATGCATGTTGATATACTCCAAGTATGTCAAGTGGCGGATCAAGCATGAGACGTACGTGAAATAATCTGCCAGGATGAATGGGGGCTGATCGGATCTGCTCCGTACTGACCAAACTGGACAGGATAAAGAACATGATCCCTCCCTCTGTAGAGCCTGATCCACTGCGCAGAACGTACCACTGAGGTCCATGCGGCGTGGCGGTGGAAGTTTTGTACTCCATGTCCTGCTTCCATGCCGTTTCCTGAACGACCATTACATGTACTGGGCGACCTGCAACATACTCATCACACAGCCACTGTGTGATCTCTCTGTACCTTGTATCGCGCAAACCGCCGCAGTTCCATGTAATAATTCGAAGTCTGGAAAAATGTGATTTTGCGTTGATCAACTTATTCCGATGGCCAACTTGTCTAACGGGTCTTGCCGTAGATGTGGCACCTAATTGTGTAAGGGTGAGATATCGCCCTCTGTACCATGTAGCTTGGTCGCATGAGTTGGAAGCCCTGTGCACGGCCCGCCTGAAGGACCGCTTGCGTGCAGCCTCCGCCGCAGATTTTGCGACGTTCGCATGCGGCTTCGCCCCCAAAATGGGAGCTCCCGGCCCACCCATAGGAGATGGGCCCACCTTCACGCCATTCGAGCCGGAGAAGTTGCTTGTCATGACCAGAAAGTGGATCAACTTCTGTAGATAGTTGTGGCGTCGATGTCCCCCGGCCCGAACTCCGGACTTGGGACCGGAGCGAGTGCACTTGCTTGTTGAAAAAGAGCTCAGCATTGTAGAGCCGAAACCTGCAGTGCCAGATAGCCCAATAGGCCTCGCTACCACGCGGCCTGGTTCCTGAAAGTAGCAGATCAGCGTGTAGAGGAAGCGCCATGTTGAAAGCAAATGCATCTGTTTAAGAAAGCAGTGCAAACATGCGTCCACAGAAAGGGAGCGGCCTCTCGTAGTACGTCTTCTAGCTCGCTTCAACTGGCTCTGTCGAAACCTCCATCTCCTCCACAGCTTATATGCTGCATTATCTGGCATGCTCCTGGGATCGTCTTTGCACCTTGGCCTCTGAAATCCATTCAAGGAAGACATTGCGGTCCGTGCCCGGGAGCGATCTGGCGAGGAGCTCTGCGGACTCAACATAGAGGCCGTACTTTGTCGCCCTGATGAAAACATCGGAGACGCATTGTATCTCCGAGTCCTGAAAGCCGCGGCGTCGAGCTGCCTGGAAGAATCTTCTTTGAAACTGCTGGCACAGCTCGCTCTTGTTGGGGTCATCTGCATTCCCCAAGGCTCTAGTGAAAGTCTTATCATTGTCTGGGAAATCTGTGCGCCAGATTTGGTCCAAGAATTCAAGGAATTCAGTAAGCCTATCGCAAACTTCTCTGGGCATTTCACTATCGAGCCTCTGACGGATGACTCCAAGCTCCGCCCCTGACAGTTGGCTGAGAAGCCGCCCGCTTGATCCTGAAACAGATCTTTTCGACCGCCCGGTCGCAGACAGGGCCTGTCTGTAGAACGCAAATACCACGCTCTGTTTGACTCTTGTACACTTGTCGACAAAAGTCTGCTCGATCGCGTTCTGATCACGGATGGGCCGTTCCAAAGGTCCGCTTTCGGAATCGCTGTCAGAGTCAGACATATCAGAATCCGTAAGATCATGAACAGACATGTCTGAACCATGCGGAGGCAATTGTCTTTAGAACGTTGCGTTTCGAGGTCCAGGGCCAGGTCTAGTACGCCTTTTACGTTCTTACACAGAAAAACCTCAGGTTTCAGCTCAAGCAAAGCACAGCAAAGATTTGAGCACTCGTGGCGCTTACCTCTGCAACCTACAAACCACTTATTCTGAAATAAAGGTGTGAAATTAAGGTGACCGGCCGGCAGCCACCCTAGGTCTCAGCATTGCATAGGGTGACCGCTGTCCAGGTCCAGTCACCGTAATTTCATAATCATTGGGCTGATGATTCCCTTCCCGGTTCTCCCGTTCGGTACGGGAAGCATTCACTTAGGGAACTGAGGGCTGTCATGTACCTAAGGCGAGAAAACCAAGGAGTCTACATCAGTACATCTTACAAATGTACTACATAAGTACTTGCATCTTGCGACTTGCTCTATGCACCTTCGGATGTGTGCCCGAAGGTGTCCCTGAAGGTGTGCCCGAGGTTTATCGGATGTCCCTGAAGGTGTGCCGGATGTGTTCCCGAAGGTGTCCCTGAATCAAGGTGTGCTCCAGGCGTGCCCGCAGGGAGAAGTCTTGTATAGCCAAAACCCAAACCTAACTCGACCCAAGCCCTGTGTCTCCTTTATACTTTTAGTTTTCGTACAAGCCCTTGTCAGGCCCTGGTCACCGCATGATGACATATTGGTTCAATCCAGGACCAAGACGTTGGTTCCCGCGTTTCTGCCGGGTTCCTGTGGCGAAGTTCCTGTTTCCCCCCCCCCCCCGGTTCCTGTTTACGGCGTTTACGCATCCAGGCCGGACCCCTTATTGTGCCACAAGACACCTTCGAGATGTCAACACTAACTGGAATGAATCGTAAACATGCTAAGCGAGTAAAGGAAACGAACTGCGCAGAACATGGCCATGGCTATCTCAAGCATACAAAAACCATACTGCATGCGCAAGCGTCGAACCATGACTAACTGTGCAGGAGACCTCCAGGACATTGTTGTGCTTTGGTCAGCTGGACATGCTGAACCCTGAACGAACCACAGGCCCGTCAAATCGGGCGAAAGCACAAACCATCGCCTTGCCCAGTTGTAGTGATCACATAATGCGACGGACCTTTGCAATAAGGAGTCGGGCTGCAAGAACTTCCACGCAAACACGTGGGTGGTTGTCAAAATTATGGTCCCTTTTTGGATCATTACTAGAGTACCGCACCTGATATTTAGGGTACCCAAAAAGGACCATCATTTTGACAGCCACCCACGTGCTGTCTCCTTTCCTGGAATGCTGCCAGAGCACAACACCTTCTTGGCATCGTCCTGAACGTAACTGTTCACCATACGAGGACCCACGCAGTGCCAGCCAACATGTGCCTCCCAGCCTGCTCAATGACAAATCGATCCAGGTACTCCTTCACCTCTTTGGGCTTCATTCGGAAATCTCGGATGTTCTGCATCACCTAATATGACACAGGAAACGGCCGCCGACAAGCATGGAGCGTGAAGTTTTTCCACATTGGTGGACATGACTTGATTCTTTAAGTTTCCTCGCTGCAGGCTGGGAAGCCTTGCGGGCCTTCTCCTCCTCTTCTGCCGACCCTGAACATACTTTGTGTGCAAAAGCGCTTTGAATTCCAATGAGCCAGGGAACCTTTCTGACCACCAAACATGTCACCCATGCCAGGACCAACAAAGCCGCCGCCCATTCCAGTTCGTCCACCCTGCACCTTGACGCACGCTCAGGATCTGTTTGTAGAAAGCTCTACTTGAACTGGGAGCAGCACATCAAATATGTTTCCAAGTGGTACGCGGCCGGGTCCTTGCGCATGTAGTTGTGCTCTCTTGCTCCTGCGCACTCCCACTTGGAGATTCTGCATGCCGTGGGGGCATGGAGCATCGAAAGTCTGCACAAATATTTTGTCCAGCTAGCCATGTCACATACTTGGTGAAACAGATGCCTGGGAGAGTGGAGGTGGCCAAGGTCTTCAAGGCTGTCTCACACCAGCCCGATGGCAGCTCTTGCACGACTCCATTCATCAACCAATTCGTCAATGGCTTGCACGTGTGCAGGATCAGCTGCTCCACATGCCTGTCGTGTTTGTCGTAGCTCACGGTGTGGAGCACCTTCTTCTTTGCTCGCATCTTGCAAGCCAGCCTCCAAGATGGCCACGGCTTCTCCAAAGTGCTTTGCGTTGCGCTCTGTTACTTCCAGGCGCTCTTCCAGGACACTGCCATCTGCCCTGACCTTATCCAACTGCCTTTGCTTGTCTTCCAGCTCCTGCTCCACCCTCACCAGCTCGTCATCGACCTCAGGCGCGTCATACGGCTTCTGGAGTGGTTCGAGTGCAAGGTCCTGTGCTTGACTCAGGGAGGCCGAAGACCTTTCCGAGGAGATGGAGCGGCTCCGGGGCTTCAGCAAGCGGCCTCGGCCTGGCTTCGGCTCCAGCGGCTCATGCTGCGCCTCCGGCTGTAGCTGCTGCGACTCTGGTCTGGGCCGCTCACCGGCTCTTGGAGCGCTGCGAGGCACAGGCACAGCCTGAGGAGGCACAGGCAGGGGAGGAACGGAGTTTAAGGGGTCTGCAGAATGGCTCCGTGAGCCGGGCCCACGCGAGGGTCGCCGCCAGACAGGCGCGGACCACTCAGAGAATTCACCGCGCAGCTGCTGCCTCGCCTCTTGCACTACGTGTGCCATACATGGGCTGGCTCCGCCGGATCCATTGCGAGCGAGAACTTCCCAGTCCCACCAAAGCAAGTTTTATCTTACTTAGTTACAGCTTGAGAAGGCAAATTGAGCTACCAACTGTATGAAGGTCTCTTTCCTGGCTTCCTTGCTGTGCTGATTCCCAACTGCCTAGTCGCAATTTGTGAAACACTGCGATTCAGTTGCGGCAAAACCAAGCGCGTCTCCAAGAGCTCATGCAGCGTGACAATCATGCAGGATTTGGCTAGATGCCAGTCCTTTGCGGAAGCAGTTGTCTGAAGGCAACCCGCGCAGCTAGCAGCCCTGCCGCACCGCCCATAAAAAGCTGCGGGCCCTCGCCGAGCCGCTGTGCCTGAGATCTGGCTGGGCGCTCCACGGGAGCAGAGCCCGGAGATGACGCGCTTGGAGCGCTTGCAACCAGCCATGGCGATGCAAAGGTGAGCGCCATCAAAACCAACTGATGCAATCGCAGGGTTGGAAAATCCCGCTTGTCTAGACTCACGGGACAGGTGACAGTGGAGCTTGAAAAAATATTGAGGGCCAACTCTGCAGCTTGGTTCTGAATGTGACGTGTGATGATTCGCTGCACGGGCTCTGAAGTCATGCGTTTGTATGTCTGGTGTGCATATTGTGCCACTTGTGACAGCAAACATGGTGAATCGAGCTTTATGGGCCCGCAAAGTTCCCGGCCATGGCATATGCGTATGCAATGGACGCAGATTTATCTATCACCATCAAGTCACATTGGTTGGCGGATGCTGCAGGACCTCTCGTAGCTCTTTGGCCAACCTCTGCAAACCGTGGGATCTAAAGGCCTGCACGGACAGAAGAACCCCCACATCCAAGCTGCGAAGCCGCGCTTTCAGCTGCGACACCTCGCCTTCTTCGAGCGGCCCAACGAGCCCCGCGACAGACTCCAAGGTTGATGTCCACTGATCCAACGGTATGTCCATACACCGTGGCCCGCGTTCGCAGGACTGCGTGCTGGGCTGCGCAGGTTCGGGCTCAGAAACTGCCACATGGGTGGCCGCTTGCCAATCTATGAGTGTCTGCTCGCCTTGAAGCATGCGCTCATCCACTAGCTCCTCCACACCGACAGCTGTGACAGCGCACATGCCTTTCCAGTTGGGCTTCGGAGCGCGAACCTAAGAACAGTATCGCTGCACGAATTAATGACAGAGCTTGGTAAAAGAACCTCCTTCCGTGAAAAGACTGAGGCGCAGGCCTGCTCTATGAAAGCAGCTCCGGCGGCTGGGACTTCACTTGGAGATTCTTGGGCATCTGGCCCAAAGAAAATCTCGAACAAGTGGTCCTTTCCTGCTCGTGCTTTGGCCACTCGCTGCACACCATTTCGGGAAACTATGCGATCCGCACTTGTGTTCTCCTCTCCAGCAGCTTCCCGCGTTCGGAAGTCTGATGCCCAAAAATGGAATGTGACCAGCCCATCCGGATGTCCAGAAACAGCTGAGTTGATGTGGCCTTCTGCACAGCCGAACTGGTTTTCTATATCCAGCAAGGCATAGTTTAGGATAGGTCTGGCATCTGGCACAGCTGAATCTACGGTGGAATGCGCAAGGAATGCATCGAAGAGGTTTTGGTTGTCCGTATACGGATTCACATATATTTGCCTCAAGAACAGAGTGAAGAAAATCAACGTCCGGTACGTCGCTCGCACATAGAATAGGCCATTGTTCAGGCAACGCGCATCCCAATGTTCTGTGACCAAGACTTCGACCCCTTGATGATCCGTCGCAGATTCTGGAGTGGTGGTCGTCACGTTATATGTCCAGTACTGCCTGTGGCGTTGCAAGTTTTGCAGAAATCCCAAAAACGACGCTTGGAGAATCTTTCTGCTGAGCAGACGGCTTGGATGGATTATGGTGAGTGTCTAAGAGTCTAACTAATCCCTGCACCAGTTGACGTGCATGGTGACCGCTGTTCCCCAGACTGTGCCTGGGATCACAGATCTTGGACAATGCACACAGATCTGTTGTGTTGTCAAAGAGGAAGGAGCCAAACCGCACCTTCATCATGAGCAGAGACCATACATAAAGGCGCGCACTCAAACTTGCTACGTTCTCTGGATCTTCCTGCTGCTTTGTGGCTCGCGAACGTTGTGGCAGGATGCGGGTAGGCATGTCCCGCGCGGACCGCAGTGCAGCTGATGGCTCCTCCCGACATCTTGAACCATATGAGCTACAGTCAAGACTTCCCCAAAAAATTAATGGACATGGGTTCCTTATCAGGGATTATTATAGGGACTGTACCAAAATACAAGAAGGACTCCTATGTCCACTGTTCAGGGTACCTTAAGGAGGCTGATATTGACCGTAGCTCAAATGACAGGGAAAAGGGGAATATAATCCCTATATAAACCCTGTATAATATACTCCCTACTATTCCCTACTAAGAACCACTAAGTTTCACTTAGACCAAAATGTCCTGCAGGATGAAAGTGTCAAAATCGATCCAAACAGTGTCCACTGCCGCACTTAGCAGCATTGGCAAAAAGGCGTGCTTGATGTAGATGACATGTCCTGTTTCCAGAAGCTGCGAACTGAAATCTGACAGAATGAACCGACCAGGTACGTGCAATCAGGAGCCTTCAACTGCTGAGACACACAGGATGGTCTTTTCGGAGGCACCTGGGCTATCTCTTGGCAAGCAGGGCTTGCGCGCACTCTCTTCATGCAGCACGGCCCATAATAGTGCCAAGTGGCGCAGGAGATCACTTTGCACTTCCGTAGCCACCTCCAAGAACATGTCACTGGAGGTGGGGACTCGAACTGTCAGAACACATGTGCTCAGGCCTTGCACTTCTCAAACGCATCATTGTCCATGCAAGCCATGATCAGGGCTGGGAGGCCGACAACCAGAGCTCTTCGGACGAATCCTGTTCTGGTTTTTGGCCAAAGCAACTAGAATATCAGCCACAGTACTTGAAACCAAGCAGTCCACGACAGAAGCTTGCTCCCACCAATCCTGTGATGTAATCAGAGAAGGGCAAGCCACCAACGGCCGTAACATATACCATGACTTCTGGATCCTCTCGCACAGCCCTTACCTGCTTCAGGAAGGATGTTACTTGCCGGGTCAATTCGTTGGCATGCCTGTCTGCCGCTGTCAAGTGCTCTAGCCTTGCACTAGCATCCGCACGCAGTGCGTCGAAGGCATGCGGCTCGAAAGGCAGATCGCAAAGTTCTTGAGAAGACCACCTTGGTCTACAACGCTTGCTGATCCAACTAATGATACCATGTGCTGTGAGGTGGGAAACATGTGGTCCGCGAATCTATGACAGCTTGGGATCTGATATGCCGCAGTCTTACATTGATTTTTGTGAGTGGGCATGACATGAAACGTGATTCTTGCTGGCAGGTGTAATCTTGGATTATGGATAGTCTGCCATCCTTAATTTCAGCTGGGTGAAGCAACGACACGGGCATGGATGCCGACCCCCAAAAGCAGGCGTAAGGTTCCGGCACGAGGTCGTAGGAGCGTAGCGCAAACATCCCCAGCTTTGCGAGTCCGTGAAACACTCCCCAGACAATGGAACCCATGAGAACTTCTGCTGTGTATGAGCGCAGTATCCCGTGAGCCATGTTGCTGAACCGCTCAAACAGAGAGGGGTTTGACATCAGGGCTAGCATGGCAGCTGAAGCTCCGAACGCCGCGGCGCCTGCAGGACAGGCCGCAACAAAAGTTGTAGAGAACTCTCTGGGGTCTTTCATTGTGGCGGAAACCAGTCCGTCCAAGCCACGCAGGAACTTCAAGCCTTCAATATCCCTCCCAGAGGCGTATGGCGTGTGGCGCTTGATCATGTCCAACATGCGCTCCGACTTGTAGCCTGCAACCGACGCACCCCGGCAAACTAAGCGATCGGTGTCTACCTCCGGTTTCTTGTGAGGTTGGATCTTGGAAAGATAGATATGTAGCAATGCAAAGGTGTTCCACTCCGTGGACGCTGTAACATGTAGGGGCGCCAAATCCAGTAGCACGGACAAATCACGCGAGAGAAGCTCAATCAGAGACTCTCGCCTCAAATGTTCCAATAACTTTTCGTAAGGGGCCTTCATTGGTGTTGCTGGTAGCTCCTTCGCGTCCAGGTAAGCCATGCAAGTAGCAAGTATTGATGCTGTGACTGCCCCATATGGGCACTCGTTCAAGGCGTGCGGGAAACGCCACAGAACCACCGCAGCAAACTCCAGTAGCTCGAGCTGCAAGCCCATACGCTGCACAGGTGCGACATCTTCTTTAACCAGAAGGCTTCGGTCGTCCAGTAACAACTTCACCAGATCTCCCAGCCGCGCTCGCAAGAGTGGCCAATTCACAACCGGCTGGCGTGTGAAACTGCGCCGGCACTCATAGTCTTCTATTTCCACATTAGGGAACCAGGATGTCAAGTCAGATGGTTGCCCGGAGCTGAGAGGCACCTGCAACAGAAGCACAACTCCAGCCAGCCAGCGGGGCATCTCTCCGGAAGCTCAACCAGGCCATGGCCACAGAAATGGCACGGCACTTGCAGTTACTGCCTGCTGTTGCTGTAGATTACACAAGCCAGCTCTGCTTGCAGCTACTGTGCTTAAGGAGACCAAGCTTTGAACAATTGAGTATTCAATGCTTGTTCTGCATTAGCTCAGGCGGTTGCAAGGGGCATCGTTTCGCAGCACCTCGTTCGATCTGGGACTGCAGTAGTCAGCACTCTCAAACGCAACCCATTTCAGGGCAAGGCCTATATAATCGCGACCAGTGCCGGCGGTCCAACACAAAACGCGCTGATCGCACGAAGCAGGGATTACCAGACCAGTGGGTGGAGATAGCGCAAGGGCCTGATAATATGTAACAGTCGGCGCCAGTGGCCGCACAACTGGCCGTTGTTTTCCGCACTCTTGGGGGCAGTGGCAGTAGCAGCAGCGGCAGTAGTACTGGAGATGGGTTGAATTGAAGGGAGTGGAAGTCAGTCCTAGCAGTCTTTGTTGTTGCTCTAGCTCTTCTATCATGGTGCGTTTACTGATGCCAGTGCTAGTAAGAGGCAGTAGCAGCCGTGGTAGCGGCAGCAGCCGCTGCAGGCCTCGTGGCTGTCCTCGATGTCAACATCCAAACACAACCTCGTCCTCATGACAACTGTAGTGGCGACGGTAATCATCGTTCTGGTCGTGGCTGTTGCTGTTTGCATGTTGTAGGTTGAGCTATAGTTGTGGAAGTTGTTGCCAGTGCTGCCAAGAAAACTAACAGCACTACTAGCAGTAGCAACGGAAGAACACGTTTACGGAACGAATCCCGCCCAAACTTGCCTGCATCTCGTCGCAATCCCCATGCCAACTTTTCCTCTTTTGGCCTGCCCTCCAGAAACGCACAAAGGCAGAACAGCAGCATCCAAAGCTTGGCAATGAAGGTACAAGATGGCCCCGCGCGCAACCAGGACCTTTCCGTGACCTCCATTCAGTACGCACACCATGAGGTCAAGCAGTCCCTTGACCATGAAATTGAAACGTCCAAGATGACCGAGGCGAGCTGGTGTAGGGCCTGCCCTTGCTTTCCGCTGCTTGGCCGCGCAGCTGCCGAGGACAAACAAAAACATCTGCCCGAACCGCAGTTAATCACAAGTCCGTTCTCGTGCTCAGGATTTCGTGTTCAGGCCCAGAGGGGGCTCCGAACTCGAGAATTAGCAGCTCGGCGGCGTCCAGGCTTACCTGGGTCTGCTGCTCCAGAATCACAAGACAACTGCCTTGATGGCCTGTCGCCTTCTTGCCCCCCTGTAAGGAGCTACATTGCCAGGACGGAGATGAGGACCCAGCAAACCGCTTAACGACGCGATACTCAAGCTGGACCGGCCCGTTCAATGGCAGCTCAAAGGCATCCTTTAGCCTGAACAGCTCTGTCTTCAGGCGGGATGCCGTGGGATTACGCAATGTAAGAAAGCCCAAACCATCCCGCCAGGCCGCCCAGCCATAGGGCTCCTGGCCGCATCCACTACCGACGGCCCAGTGCATGTCTTCAAGCGTTGAATGGTGGTCCCGTGCCCATCTGAGCGCCTCCGCAAGCACATCCCAACGACCCGGATCCATCAGGTCTGGCGATATGTACAACTCCTGGAGCAGCAGGCCCAAAGAAGCATGTGACCAAACCTCCTGTGCCCAGTCCAACTCGTTGGCAATGTGAAGCCCGAGCGCCCGAGCATCACCATGCTTCGACAAAACGGTGCCATGGATCATCAAACGTGCTATTGGGAAGAAGCGTGCCCTCTGCACTATGGCCGCAGAGATGATGCACCTCCATACGCACTAACAGCAAACAAAAGCGAAAGGTCAGATTCCCGGAGCGCTAGGACTACTAAAGTGGCACTGCCAGCAATTCTTGAAACCTTGATGGCACCTAGCAATACTATGGCAACAGCAAGAAGACAACTTATGCCTCTAGATCAAGCCATGACAACTGCCCAAGCACTCCCTGAAGAGCTGCCAACGCTGGCGGACGCTCAATCCCGGCCGCTCATCTGCTGAAAACGCAAGCACATCCCTGTGACCACGCCAGATGCTGTCCACCTGAAAATCAAGCAAAGATTTAACACGTTCAGCTTGCAAAGCCCTTGAAATCAACAGGCTTCTAATGATCTCCTCAAAGCTGAGGCACCCAGAGCAAAAAGAATGGGCTTGGCCATGTTCCAGTTGTCAGGTTGATCCAGATACCATCCTTCGGAAGCTGACTACTTTTCTAGCTCTATCCCAGCAAGTTTTGGAAAGGAAAAGGCGTGCAGAAAGAGGACCATTGCAGCCAAAGCTTTTAAAGTTTTGTCCGAGGATCTTTGTTCCTGATCAGGGATGCTAGACACTAGCTTCACAAAGCCAGGAGCAAAGTTTCAAGAAGTTGGCTGCTGCCCTCATGAAGAACCCCAAAAAACACGGCGCCAGAAAAGACCTTCCTGCATATGGGTCTACTTTCAACCCTGGTAGCCTTTGTGCTGTGCCGTTGGGCGCCACTTGCCGCAGGGAATGGGAAAAAGAGAGCATGGCCTCAATCTCACCGGGTACTTCAGTCGGATCGCCAGCAATGCCGTCGAACCTTTCCACTGGAGCTGGACAACGGACCACTTGAAATCTTTAAAAATGCAAACCAGCAGTCTGCCCTTACCAGAGCAGCAATATGCCTGACCAGCCTCATGTCATCCCTGAACTCAAAAGCCAAGGTTGAAAAATCAGTTTGAATGTAAATTTGATTTAGGGTGCTTCCTGTTTTCCTTGGCAACGGTCTGCTTCAACCAGTTTCTGGGAGCTGGAATTTCAGATTATGCGAAAACTTAAGGGATCTTAAGGGAGGGTGATGTTCTTGGGAAGCCCTCACTTCCTAAAAGAACTGCTTGAAAAGCCAAAGTCGCATTTACGACACTCATGAGAACAACACCCACATCACACCAACCAAACAAATGACTAGCCGCAGTAAGAAGATCAAAAGGAGCAATACGAAAAGAATGGTGCCAATCACTTCAGATCAGTGGTAGCAAGAACTGCATGGAGCAGGCAGCAAGTCTATTGCACACAAGCTAGTTTCGAATACAACCAACAGCAAACAACAACAAAGAAATCATTGAAAATAGGCAGAACCCTAGCATAGGGGCCGGCGGGAAGGACACACAATGTCCAGCGGGTCCTAGTGTGGATGCATTAGCCGAAAAAGCAAAACATCAAAGTCCAAGACACTAAGAAGTCGAATTGATGGAGGACGATACCGCTGAGTAGCGCAAAACCAGGCTACGAGGAAGCCAGAACAACAAAAGCAAAATGAAGCCCCAACCCATTATGCGGCGAAAACTGCTCCAGCAGGACTTGCAAAAGCACAATACGGATCACACCGGCTTTGCATCAAAAGCACTGCGACTTCAACCGAGAAACTTGAAGAGATTCACGGCCGCTTTGTGCCGGAAGCTCGCAGCTGCTGCTGTGAACTTCCTAGGGCCCCAAGAAAGGAGGAGTCCACACCATGAGCGCAACAGTCCCCCATAGCTTTAGTAACACACCTCCCATCAGAACTCAAGCTTGTGTAACTAAGCCGCGCTCTGTAAAGAGGACCTGCCCAAGCTGTGAACAAACATGGCGAGCAGCGGTCATCTCAATTTTGAAAAGTAGACAGACCAGCTAAAGCTCGCAAAAGCACAATCTACAATCTCCTCCCCTAATGTTAAAACCCCCACCCCCCTAATATCAAACTAATATATTTTTGTAATATACCAGAATGGGAATATTGAATAATAGGAGGAAGTAATATTCGGGTGAGGGGATTACGTAGCCATGGGTGGGTTTTGGCTGGAAAGTAGACTTTGAACAGCTCTTGACTTGGTGGCAGTATAATTGCAGCCTGTGCATGCATAGACCCTTAAACCCCATTATTGGGGTAACATTGTCCCATATACTCGCTACAGTAATCTCCATATCAACCCTATATGACCCCTACATACTCCTTCTATAATCCCTATATAATCCTTGCATGACCCGAGTGAAAATGAGCCCCTCTTCAACATGCCAAGCGCTATAAACCCCATAGCTTCGGTCCTGCTCCAGCCCATTAACTATAACAGGGGTCATACTTTGGGCTGTATACTTTTTTTATGCATATTATCCAACTGTTGCTGAGTCTCCAACTTTCTAGAGGCCTTACAACCTTTCAGCGGCCTTTGCCTCCCAGAAACTTCCCAGCCTTTCCAGGGCTCCCAGAAACAAGGCCGGAGCCTGCAGGCGTTCCCGTGGCTTCCCAGAGGCTCCAGACCCAGACTCCAAGGAGTGCCAGCAACTCGAGCTAAAGGTCGCACATGCTTTCCAGGCGTTTCTGCAGGCCTCCAAGCCTCGCCTAAAACGGAGTCAGGTCTGATTCCAGGAAGTCTCCCCAAGTCTTTTCCTCAAACCTTTCGGTAACCAGAAGCTTGGTTACAGAAATGTGTGGTGCTGTTGACCAAGATGGACCTAACTGAGTTTAGGTCCTGAACCCTAATAGGACTAGGTTTGGGTGGTTCGGCCGCCTGGGACGGCGTGGGGTGGGTGAATGTGGTAGATGGCCTTCCACAGTCAGGCCGAAGCAGCATGTCGCATGGCACGACACGCTCGAGGCGACTCTGTGGCATGACTATCTCTGCCTCTGCACCATATCACGGCAAACCCTAAACCCTAAACCCTTAAACCCTAAACCCTTAAACCCTAAACCCTTAAACCCTAAACCCGTGAACACTAAACCTTTTTTTTGAACCAGGACTCTCTGATGTGCCCGGTACAGACCCCGCAAGAACACTAAACCTTAAACCCTAAACCCTTGAACCCTAAACCTTAAACCCGACCTATAGCCCCTAAACTTGAGGCCTGCCAGAGATAGGCCATGCCTTGGCTGTATAGCAGCAAGACATCAAGGATCATCAAGGCATGTTATATGGGGGGGTTAGGGTCTTGGGCTTAGGTTTTAGGGCTTAGGGTTTAGCGTTTAGGGGTTTAGGGTTTAGGATGAAGGGAGAAGAAAATGGAAACTGCTATTTAGGCGTTGGGGTTAAGGGATATATTTCCAACAATGGAGGATGAAATGGACAAGAAAATGGAAACATGTTATTGGAGATTACAGAGCCAAAAATGTTGTACTTTCCTTTCCTTGTTCCATTTTCTTTTCCGTCTCATTCCGCCTCACACAGCAATAAATTAGGAGGACCCCCCACCCTGTAATAGTGGCTATAAGGGATAATAAGAATTATACTAAGGTCCTATCATATTCCTACTATACCACTATTACAGTGTGGGGTCCTCCTAAGCAATAAAGCAGGTCCCAGCCGCTCGTTCACTTCCAAGCCTTGGCGCTTGGCCTCAGCTACCCGCACGTCCTTGGCCTTGCCATAGCCGCCCCAAGGTGACAGCCAGATGCCGTTGCTACCTCGGCCAAGGATTGGGGTGAGGAATCAAAAGAAAATCAAATAAGGACAAGGATCAAAACGAAATCAAATCGGGGATCAAAAAAATCAAAATGAGGATTAAAAAAATCAAAATATTCAAATGTGAACAAGCCCCGCGCGAGTGCTTCCATTTCCCAAGGACTAACGCCTGTTCGTAGCGCGGCGTGTCCTGACGTTCTTGCGTGGAGCGTCCTGAGAATTTTGCTTCTCAGTGTTTGCGGCGCCTCCGGACGCTCTTGCGTGGAGCCTCCTGAGAATTTTGCTCGGAATCGACAAGCCTCTCAGTGTTTGCAGCGCCTCCGGCCGCTCTTGCGTGGAGCGTCCTGAGAATTCTGATCGGAATCGACAAGCCTCTCACTGCTTGCGGCGCTTCCGGACGCTCTTGCGTGGAGCCTCCTGAGAATTTTGCTCGAAAGCGACAGGCCTCTCAGTGTTTGCGGCCCCTCCGGACGCTCTTGCGTGGAGCGTCCTGAGAATTTGGCTCGGAATCGACAAGCCTCTCAGTGTTTGCGGCGCCTCCGGACGCTCTTGCGTGGAGCGTCCTGAGAATTTTGATCGGAATCGGCAAGCCTTTCAGTATTCGCTGCGTCGCTGATGAATAATCTAAATCGCGGATCTAAAAAAATGAAATAAGGATCAAAAAGAAATCAAAATGAGGATTTAGAAAAATCAAAATGTTCAAATGTGAGCACGCCCCACGCGAGAGCAATGAAAAATGATGAAGCATGCATGATGCAAAATCGTGAGAATGATAAAGAAAGTTTGAAAATACGAATTGTCAAAATCATTAAAAACAGTGAGAATGATAGAAGATGATGAAAATGATAGAGAATGATGAAAAATAGTGAAAACTATAACGAAATGATGCAAAATAAGGACAATCCTGAAAAGTATGAAAATGATGGAATCATGAAAAAATTGAATAATATAGAAAATGACGAAAATGATGGAGAAAAAAAAACGAAAATGATGAAGAAGCATGAAAATGATGGAAAAAACGAAGATAATGAAAATTGTCAAAAAAAACATGATGAAAATGATGAAAAATCATAACCAATCATCATAAGCAGTGATGAAAATCATGAAGATGAACAATGATGAAAGTGATAGAAAAGGATGAAAAGTATTGAAAATGATAGAAAATGAACAAAAAATTAATGAAGCATGATAGAAAAATATGAAAAACAGAAAAAGCAGAAAAACGATTAGAATGATGACAAATAATGAAAAAGAAAGAAACATGATGAAAATGATGAGAACCATGAAAATGATGGAAATGATAACAAATGATGACACAATTCAAACAGTGTTTAGAAAATGATGAAATTTTCTTGATGGAACATGATGATAAATGATGAAAATGATGAACAAGCATAAACAATTGACGAAACATATTAAGAATGAGCAAAAATGATGAAAATAATTGTAAAATGATGAAATCTGTGAAAATAATGCAGATGATGGAAGAAAGCTGAAAATGGTAGAAATAATGATAATGATAGAAAGTCATGGAAATAAAGAACATGTGATTTTACATGACTATGATAGAAAATGATGAAAATGATGAAACCCATGAGAACGATAGAAAATGATGAAGCATGATAGGAGAATGATGAACATGATGAAGCATGACAGAAAATGATGAAACATAATTGAAAATAATGAAAGAGATAAAAATGGTTGAGCATTGATGAAATGATAGAAAATGAGGCATATGATGAAAAATGAAAATCATTAAAGGCTGTGAGACATGATGGACAATCATGAAATGATAGAAAATGTTCAAAAATAATGATGAAAAGGCATGAAAAATCATGAAAAGGATAGAAGGCATTGAATGTGATAAGAAATGAAGCATGTGTGAAAATTAAAAAAAAAAAACAGGTGTTGGGGAAACAAAATGATCTGCATCTGGAGGCATGATACTTTTTGGTTACAGCCAAGGTTTTCGGGGGGTTCGAAGCCTCTACGATCGCGGTCTCTAGCCGAGGCTGTGGGCACAACGATGGAATATGATTCTACATGCCTTCATGGTTCCTTCCTTCCTTCCTTCCTTCCTTCCTTCTCCTTCTTTCCTCTTACGAATACTTTGATTTTATGTTGATCCTTCGTTCCTTACTTCCTGACATAGGATTTACCTTTGATTTCCTCTGAAACATGATATGTTGATTTTTTGTTGATCCTTATTTGATTTGTTTGATCCTTATTCGATTTTTTTGATCCACATCCCCTAGGATTGCAGAGAAAGTTTGAGGAGTTCAGGATTCAGCTGCTGCATGCGGCTGAGAAAGACCCCTCAGAAATGCAGGCGAGAAGCAATTCCTTTCATCAGCCACGCGCGCAAGGTTGTCAAAGCCATCTGGAAATCTATCCACATTGAACGCCCACATCCCTCGCTGAGGATCATCCCAGCCATCATCCCACAAGAACGAATCGATGCGCACCCCACGCTTGCCGAGCTCATCATTAAAGATGTGGATTTTCTTGATGGCTGCAGTCTCATTCATTTGGTCTTGTGACAGCTCGGCCAACAACTGTTTTAGCCAAAGGCTTTGCTGCACCGTTGCGGCACGCTGGGGGTCAAAGAAGGACTGGTCTTGCCACGATGTGAAATCGTACCAGCTGTTGTAATGCACGAGGGGCCCTTGCCAGGATGTTGGGCGAATAGTTGACAAATACTGATGAAAAACACGGCGTGCCTGAATGGCTTCCCCATAAGCACCCACAGCAGCACTGAAAGCGTGGCTTTGATTTCTCCAGTCCATAGATGCTAAGTGAGTGACGCGAGCATAGAGGTCCTTTCCAGAGCTCCTATTCAAGTCATGATCGGACAAGGGGTGTTCCATGCCTGCAAAGAAGTGGCCATCCAGCAGCACGGGTGACCCCGGTACAGAACCGGTAGTCAGAGTCTGGCCACAGCTCGCCCCGTCCGGGCGCGCGGCACGAACCGCTAACAGTGCCAGTGATCTTGGATAGTTCCCATCGGATGCAGAGATGTTGGCAAAGATCCTGAGGAAGGCTCCTCCAGCATCATGACTTTCGATGCCTTGCACCTCCACGACCCATGAGACTCGGAGCCCAAGCCTGGTGGACGCAAGCAAGGCCAAATGCTTCTAGATGTGTTTGACCTTGAAACACAGCAACCCACAGGCTCAGCTTCACTACCTTGCACTATGAACTATGTGAAGCATGCCACGGGCAGTGGAGAGTGGCTGTCAACCTCCTGCTTTCCACCTTCGGCAACCCGCGCATGATGCCTCAGCTCTGGATCACACGCGAAATTTCTTGATTACAGAGGTGACAAGGCACACTCTGTGGAGTTCACCATAGTCGACTCGGCTGACGTCCTGACGGAACCCCGGCAGATGTTGGCATTGATACTAATCATCATGTTGAGATTCTGCTTGCTGGACGAAGACTTGATTGTTCGGCTTGCCTGTTGGGCACGTGAACTTCTATTTCGAACAGAGGTGCCAAGTAAATGCGAGTGCCTGCCAGCATGTGACAAATCATCATGCACCAACGCGCGGCCTCGAGACCATGACTCATGGATACTCGTGGTACTTGCCAAGCAGCATTGCGGCCGAGCAGGTGGGCTTGCAGCAGCGGCAGACCTGGCAGCTGCATATGCCTTTACCCTGCCGAGGCTGCCTCCCGAGGCTGCCATGTGATGCCATGTGCATGCCCACATGGCCTCCACTGCAAGTAGCCCTCCTGCAGAACTCCCTGCGAAGCTTGAAGCCCAAACTCCAAGCTTTCAACAACGAGTTTCCAGTTCTCTGCCTGTCAAGAGGGCATGTATGTACCAGCTGGCTATGAGGCCGAATGGCAGACTGTTGCTGACATCTGCCTTCGCGTTAGGGATCAGCCCAGATAGAGGAGTCAGCAGTCGCAGCACCCACATGGCGTGCTGTAATTACAATCGGCAATCGCAGGACATGAGCGACCGGGCATGCAATCCTTGAACCTACCGCCCTGGCACCCGCGATCCCTCTGGCAAGCCTGAGGTTGCATACGTGGACATGCACGAGGCCACGAGGCATCAGGTCTTTTTCGGTTTCCGCCTTGTTTCTAGTTGTATGTATCTGAAAACTGCAGGCCTAGCTGTTGAAATGATACGCTGGCGTGTCACCAGCATACGAGAGCATCAGGCGCCCTCCTTCTTCTTCACCACCCTTGATCATCTGAGACATATTTGAAGCTTGGAACCAGAGCTACTTCAATGCAGACAGGTGACAATTCTAGCGAGAAAGTTCCACCAGGCGCGCCAGCTAGCGTCACGAAGCCTGGGAAATGCCCGTGTTTTTTGCACATGCATGGATGCGAGACACGTTCTGTTCGTTGTGCATGCGTTCAGAGTAACTTTTGTGTGTACTGTTGCGCAAGACCGACACGCGCGCGCCCTCTCAAAAGTCTGTGAGCAAGGCTATCACACATGGGACCACGCGTGGCAAAACCAAAAGCATCTTGCAACCATGGCGCCATAAATGAGATTGTCTCCTTGAATCTGGAAATCACCATCAAATGCTAGCCTGCCATCTGAGAATTGGAAACGTCGCCCTGTGAAGACGCCTGGGAAGCTTTTCTCCTCAGAAACAAACGAATTGGTTGGCTCGAATGCTGGTGCCCGAACAGAACTGTCAAGCGCACACCAAGTGCGACCAAAATGCTAAATAATCAGGCGACTCTTCCCGCAGGTACTTCAAGAACTCCTCGCAGGACTGCTGTTCAAATTACCTACATGTAGACTGCACGATCGTTGCCCAAACAATAACAAACACAGGGATGACATGTCCACACACACCTTTGCACCTTCAATGGCTGCATGTCATGCACTCTTTGGTTCCGCATCCTCGCGCGTCATGCCCTTGGTCGCATCCGCGCAGTTCTCTGCATACTCGCCCTCGGAAGGGAAATCCTCAACACCTGCCACCTGGTAGGGTTGACCCAGGACAGGAAACTAGAGTGCTCTGGATCTGACTGCCGCGCAAGCATGCAAAATGATTCGCTGCGCTTGCAAAACCGGAACCTGCCTGTTTGAAAAACAGCTGCAACATTGGAAGAGAAATGTGTTGGCACTCCTCGTCTGTTGGTAGGGGCTGCTTGAAATCACGCCACTGCTCATTGAACTTGTGAAAGGTGTAGGCTGTCATATCTTGATCCTTCTGTTCACCCGGCTCGAAGGCAATTGGAAAATCCTGTTTGAAGTTGACTATGTCATCAATGTCTCCCCGCTTGGAGAAGATCTGGGCCTCTGTGTCTGATGTTGCTGTGAACTTCAGATCCACCTGCTCGCCGCGAAAGAGATCCGGGTGCTGGAAGTTACCCACAAATTTGTCGCCCGCCACAATGTGGGGTAAATGCCATGCAGGCCGTAACTTTTTCTGGTCTAGCTCCTCTGCTTTTTTGTCAAGACCGAGTTTTTTCAAGTACAATTGTTTCCTCTCTGTGGGGTTGGAGAAGCCACCTGCTTCCTGGCGCTTCACCAAGCGCAGCTGCTGGCCAATATACTTCTGCATATTTAGATTAACTGTTGGGTCGCGTCGTAGGATGGGCTGGTAAGCCGGTCTCGCGACAAGCCGGCGTGCATTAGATCTGGTCCCAATGCCTGGGACCCATGCACTTCCACTCAAAGCTACCGCCACAACACCCAGCAGCAAACATCGGCACAAACCATGCCGTGGCCCTGGCATCCGCACTGCTCTACAACCCGTGTTGGGTTTTGGCAACCTGCGACTGGTCCAGCCAACCAGCTTGAACCAAAGCACAATGTGAAATCAGCCATGGACAAGTGAGCTCAGTCAGTCAATCATACGGCATGCAGCGCGCTTCAGAAATGGTTTCGGACACCAAATGACGCCAGACCAAAGAGTTCTATGCAAGTCTGGTCACTTCACTGAAGGCTCCTGGGATGAAATAGTCATGTTTGAAACCTGGGATGCCTCCCGAAAATTGGCACAATCCCTAGCTGATTTCTCCCGACCTGCTGGAAAGGGGGCCTACCAAGAAATCCATACGGCTACCTAACAAAATTGAACTGCCAATTAGCAAATTCAGGCTGGGCCTCTGCAAGTCAAACCATTGGACTACAGGCTGACTACGGGCGGGCAAGTTTTGCGATCAGCCCCGGAAGAATTCCGCCGGCGGGGCCCATGTTCAAGCTGTTGACAGACGTCCCGTCTTGTGCTCTGCATGCTGTCAGCTTGCATGCGGCCTTCAATCCCGTAGCCCTAATAAGCATATCCATCCTTCCCGGGCGCCAAGTACGAAAATGGCAGCCAAACTCCTTGCATGTAAGCATGTTGTGGCAATGAGTGCCAAGGCAACCACTCCGCAATGATGCCTTGTAAATGAGATAACGGAACGTTTCAGACTCAAATGCTGTCGATTGCAGTGTTTGCTGGTCTCGGAACGCTTCCAATGATGGAAATCACAGTTGCTAATCTTGCAACGTTTCACACGGTGTAAATTGCAGCGTCTATTGGCCTTGGAACTTCCAGCATTTGCTGGTTTGGGCCCCCATTGCAAACAAAATGATGCGCACAACCATACCTTTCCCTTACTGCAAAGATGGTGGTGACTATATGAATGTCCTTACAGCAGCTGGGGGGTTGGGGGAGCGCAGACCCCCATTTGAAAACAAAATGATCTCAACAACCATCCATTACGGCAAACATGGTTCTGGTTTGATGTTGTTTATCGCAAGCAAAGACAGCTTGAAAACAGCAAAGGGGGGTTGGGGAGGCGCAGGCCACCCCCAGTTGCAAACAAATCATCTGAACAACCATGATATTTCATTTTATTGTTAGCCCGGATAGCCTTGAAACAACCGGCAGTTGGGGGGAAACAGCCCCCCAAAACCCGTTTTTTGCGAACAAAATAATGATCCACACAACGTTGCTGCAAACATGATAACGACATGATGCGTCTTCTGTTTCTGGAACCACGGACCATTTTAAACAGCAGGAGGAATGGGCGGCCGCAGCTACCCCGCACTGGCAAAAAACAAGCTCCGCAAAACCCCTTCCTTCCGGCAACCATGGTGATGATATCATGTTTTTTCCCACGGGCTTTTTTGAGCCTGATCCACATAGCCTCCGAATACGCTACAGTAGCTACCCTGGAACGGCTCAGGCCCGCAGAGGCAGGCGGCTGGGGCCGGCAGGGTCGGCCCACTGCAGCACAACATCCAGCAGCGGGCCCTATTGTAGGTATGGATGGCTTTAGACAGTGGAGGGGTTGGAGTTGGGCGCAACCAACCCTTCCATTTGAAAAATCTGATTTGCACAGCTTTCCTTTACGGCAAACATGGTGATGCATGATGCTCTTTTCTACTGGAAGCATGGATGTCTTTAACATAGCGGGGGTTGGGAGGGGGCGCAAACAAAATAATCCGCATAACCCGTCGTTACTGAGAACATGGTGGTGGCATGACGTTCCTTTGTACTACTGCAAGCATGGATGGCCCAAAAGCCTCCGAAGGTTTAACAGCGACGACGGTTAAGGGATCGCGACCCCAAGCCCCATGGTCCCTGTGACCGTTAGGGATCAAATGATAAGGACTAGGCCCATGTTCTCCTATTGTTTGACAGGATGAATCCTGCCGTCGATCGTTGGCAGCAGAAAGGCTGCTTCCCCAATCTGGCCCACAAATGTTGCCACGTTTTTTGTATCTTTCTACACACACACATTTTTGCTCCTGCCCAGTCTGTCCACTGGTCAGCCTGCGACACCACGCGCCTCACCCGGCAGCGATCCCTGCTGTCCTGGATGGGTTCATCGGCAGCCGCCCCCGGCTAGGAGGTCTCCCAATGGCGTTTCCGTGCTGTCGGAGGGGTCGATGTGCATGGCCGGGAGTTCCAGTAGCATGCTGGCGTGCGCTCGCACGCCGACGAAGGAGCGAGCGCCACCCACCGTTTGTGTAGCCCGTCTGGTGGCTTCCGGGCTTGCAGCCGCACTCGGCCAACCCCAGCTGCGTGGACCTGCCAGCTGAGCGACAGGGCCTGGTCCTGCTCGGCAGCCCCGTAGGCAGCCGGGCCGTTGTTGAGGCAGCGCTCGACCAGGCTCCCCGCAAACGCTTCCCGAGCTCCCGCCTTGCAAACCGCTTGGCTTTTCCTCCTCCTGCATGCGCTCCCTCATGTGCCTCGCGACAGTGGTTTCTGGGGGGCGCACCCGTGACCCTCCCAGACCAAAGCCGCTGTCGGGGGCAGCTGCCGCTCAGAAAAGGGGGAGTATGGGGTGGGCCTCCGCAGTTGCTCACCGACAGGCCGCGTGCTAGGCCCCTTGCGCTGACACGGTCGGAGCACTGCCGGCACACCACCCCGATGAGTTGGAGAACGTGATGCGAAATTTACTCGCGGGCGATGCGCAGGCAGTCACTGTTTTCGTTTTCCTGGGGCCTTTTTGGAAATTGTTACCGCGGTCCCGGTGCAAAATGCTGACGCGAGGTGTGAGCAACACGGAAGCGGCTCGAGAGGACGGACCTCAGACGAATCCGCGAGGAGGTCGCTGAGGAGCTGCCACAACATTTCCAGTACCAGCAACGGCACGTGCCGCCACGATGGACAAGATGGCTGACCAGCGGAGCACGGGGGCGGAGCTGCGAAAATGGCTGCTGTGGAAACCGCACCAACCGCCGATGTATGCCCTGGGCGCCCAGATGGCAGTGCCAGGAAGCAACACACTTTTTTTCCACGGACTTTTTTACGCCTGATCCACAAAGGCTTCTAGTACGCCAGCTACCGGCTGCCAGCTCAGGGCCGCAAAGGCAAGCGGCTGGGGCCAACAGGGTCGGTCCACTGCAACACTACATCCAGCGGTGGGCCCAGGGGCTGCAGCCAGGGGCCGCCCAATGCTGTGCTGGCGACCGCTTGTTGGACCGCCACGGGCTCGCTGGGCTCTCACTTGCACCAGCTGGCGGACGAAGCTGCGTGCCCCCTCACTCCACCGACCGCCTACCTCTGAGCCGAGGACGACGAGCTTTTGCGGCCCCGCACGCGCAAGCTCCGGCTACGCGGCGTGTTTGCGTCTCTCGGCCACTCGCAGCGCGGCTCCGTCGATGGTAACGTAACGGTGCATGGCTGCGGGTGCCCAGTCCGCGCGAGCGGGGATACAAGCGTGGCGTCGCAGCACAACGCGCCGCCGTGCGGTGTGGCTCCGTACACGATGAGGTCAAGCCTCCGACGGTCTTCACCTCCAACGTTTGGAGCTGTAGTGTGTGCAAGCCGCTGCTCGGCCATCAGCTCCCGGCGCCTCGCGCGCGACACGCACCCAGGCATGTTCCACGATCTTTGCCCGCCTTGTGAGCAGACCTGTGCGGGGGCACGCGAGTGCGTGATCGCCATATCGGTCGACTGCTCCTCCACACCCATGCGTAGGGCCGCACGTGTTCCGGCAAAGTGGCACGGGTTGGTGCAGGCGGCGACGTAGCGCCAGCTGCATGTCTGTGGGCAAAAGGGTGGTTCCTGGCTGAGTCAGGATGGCCGCAAGCCATGCGACGGCCTGAGGCCCTGCCTGGGAACGCAAGAGTGCCTGGGAGCTGGGCGGCCAAGCTGGCAGTAGCACGCGGTCGCGATAGTGAAGATCGCGTATCTGCAAACTTACCGGATCCACTTGTATCAGTCCCGTTGGCGTAACCAAAAACGCCGGCAAAAACACAAGAAACGGTGCAAGTTTAATTTTGAAAAGGGCTACGCGGAAGCATGCAACAAATATAGATGGTGAACACCTTCTCAATCCTTCTCACATCTGCGGTTGGGTGCTTGGACCGCGGTGAACGGTGTACCGAGACTAAACCTTGGAGCGCATTAGCTTCCTCGTGCGCGGTAGCAGGGTCCAAACCGTCAAAAAAAAATGACCGGTGTTGGTCACAAAACCTTTCCCTGATGCACGTTCCAAGGACCAAGGCCATGCAATCGCACAAGCCCAGGACAAAAAAAACGTTTCCTCGTTCCAAATTAAATTGGTGTCATCATGCTGTCGGTAATCCGGAGGGCTGTTTTGGACAAACAACGTGCGAAAAACATGCGAAAAAAACATAAATATCTAGATTTGCGAAATCGTTTTCTGGGCTCCCGATACCAAATTAAGGAATGTTGGGGCTTGACTGAGTTCGTAAAGGGGAAATAATTTGCAACCCCACGTACATGAACAGATAGGAAATTATTACCTTGCATGCCTGTTTTAGCAACCGTCGTCATTAATGAGCGCAAGGATTTTCAATGTTTTCGGGTCTTGACGCCTTCGGGCGATCAGGGCTCGACTCGACTTTCGAGTTTTGAGGGATTTCGGTGCCCAAACCATCATAGCGTTCGTGCTATATGAGCATGCGTTTTTTTGTTTTTACGCGTGCATCCATGCCCAAAGCAGAATAACGTCCATGTTCCAAGAGCATACGGTGACTGCAGCATCCATGCCCAAACCATACCAACGTCCGTGCTCCAAGAGCATGCGGTGACTACAGCATTTATTATATGCCCAAACCATAACAACGTCCGTGTTCCAAAAGCATACAATGACT